TCATTCAAATTTCCGCTAATTCCCTTTTTAAATCGTGTTTCCACCTTCATATACACGTAAATCTAAATGATTCAGAGATTTCAGACTATATGACAATAATCTACGTAAATCAACGGGCGCAGTTCCAGCCGTTGGCACATTCAGTGGTCGTGGGGACAGTGCATGCTTCATATTAAATTATTGTCAATAAGATTTAAAGTAGGTCTACGCACAGGGCCTAACCCGTGCATCAACATTACTGTGCGTGAATATGACAGTTGTGAAGCATTCTTGAAAATTTCTCTTGAGGATGTTGTTATTTATAGTACAGCCCATTGTGCAATATACTCGGCATAGAGAACACCATTGACGACCCAGTTATCTTTCATTTCATGTTTTTTTAATGGCGATGGGCTTATGGGGAACTTTTTTCCAGAGGTGATCATCTTTGAAAGAAAAATCAGCCAAAAAAAAGATATATATACAGGAACTGAAATGTATACGTAATATATGTTACAGCTATTTTATTGCTATAATTTTGGATATTTTGCTGTCATGAAGTTTCCTTTCTTTGGTGATTCGTTGTTGTGTCAGTACGTGGCAGTAAGCCAATGAGCAAACTTTTGTTCACAAAATGTTTCCATTGGGCAAATATTTGGTTCGCAATTTGAACCAAAAAAACCCTAAACTGAACAGTTCTCCCTGATATTACATCACAGCAACATCGCCCTCAGTTGTCCAGAAAAACATGAAAGATTTTAAAGGTTTAAGGCACTTTTCAATAAAATTAACCAAAAAGGGATTTCAAATAGTTTTCATACATTTCAGAGGAGTAGAAAGTTGCACAAAATGTGTTCCTAAGAAAAATTCCCTATTTTTTGAAGTGAGGGTATTTATCATGGGTATAAGGCTGTTTATTTTATTTTATGCATTCTCACATAGGCATACAAAGAGCTTCATAAAGGCACATGCCTACGGTGGACGACGAGCTGAAGCAAGCTCTGTCCACAATTATATGAACGATGTTATGTGTAAAATCAACAACAAATGGGCATAACGACACGTGAAGTGCCAACAGCGCCACCAAGTGTCCCACCAATAGTCCCCTGCTGCTTTTCGAAATATCTTCCTGAGCCTGCTTCCATGATGCTTTGTTTTCTATAAGATTAAATATTCGCTTTGTTCGATTGACAAGTTATATCGCATGAATAACTACACAACTTATACAAGCGTCATTCAACGCTAATATGGAGTAATTTAATATCTAGCCGAACCCTATTATACGACTCGTCCAATTAAATCTATTAACACTCATGTCTCCGGCCTTCAATCTTTGAAATTACTCTTCCTAATTGTTTTGGTAATAATTTGTTCATTATTTCTGGATGGCTTCGTTTGGTTTCCTTGCGACGCTGCAGATGTGCTTTTCATGGCTCTGGAGTAAGTGAGCCACAGTATACTAAATGGAAATCAATATTTGTCTGGCTGGGTGGTCCTTGGCAATCAGTTTGAATGACATCCAAAGCCTGGCAGGGTGGGATTGGATTATATGCTATAGGCTGACATCCAACCATGGCTGAAGGAGAGACAAGAACTCATCGTAGGGCTGCAGGGTAAGATAATGTGCATACTAAGGACAACTAGCTCCAAAGAGTCACATTTTCCGCTGAATAATAAGTCCAAATTTATACAGCTGCGAAGATTAACCGTGACGAAGCATGTTGTGTATCATTAACGATGCTTTTTTCAACGTATGTTAATTTGGGAATTATGAATCAGTATGTGCTTTAATGAGAGACACACTAACTCGAGCATATTTCTCAGTTAAAGCTGTGTTCCCTGTGCTTTTTTCGATTTTCATTCTGAAAAGTAGATTCCTTTTCAAAATTGCTATATTTCTAGCAATACAAAAGTTAATATCTGCGCCGCATGTTATTAAATTATTATTACTTTACAATTTTGAAGTATTGGATGCCAGAAAATAAATTTGTTCAAGGCTGGTTCCCATTCCAAAATTAGTATCGATACAGTACGGACCGGGAGCCAGTCTGCTTGCAAGGGGGATTTGTTTGTGCCAAAAGCAGGAGCCTTTTCCCCAGAGGGTTGCAGACGTCCAAAAGGGAGGTTTTGGGTTGAAATAAAATAGACAAGTTGAACATTTATAATTCGAATGTGTTATTTGTTGAACAGCACGGAGAAGGCCAGGCAACATTAAATAAATTTGAATGCAAAAAACTGCAACACCAGAACAGCAATTTAAAATCTCAGTTTGTGATGTAGCTGTATGAACCCTTCACTTTATTAAAAAAGTAATTATTTTTGTTGGTATACATGTACATGTAGTAGTGTAAAACTTCAGGCTTACAAATCATCGAAGTTAAAGTTTGTGGGTGCTGTCAGTGACTTCGAGGAATTACATGATAATTGTATGCAGAATTGTGATTAACATGAGTCGTTAGCTTCATGTATCAGTCAAAAATTGTTGACTGCATGCAATGATGTGGGATATGACGTTTTTAAAACACGAAGGGCGCATGCATGTGACATACTTTTTTATTGTCCAGACACGTGGCTGTCCTAGACCAATAGCATTACAGTATTCAAGCACACGATATAACAATAACAGTAATATGATAGAGTGAGTCAGAAAGATCTTGACCCAAATTTAAAAAAAAAAATCATTAACATTTAGCAATTATCAAAACAAGTGCAAATGAGATATGTTAAAGGCTGGTATTTTTGTCACATTTGGTGAAAGTTTCATGTATAGTACCATTGGAAGAAACGCGCTAGGAAAGAACACACTAAAAAAAAACACTCTGACCACGGTTCCATGGTTCAACAAATTTATTGATATCGCGTACTGATGTGAAGCAGTGTAACAAAGCAAAAAAAACCTAGTCATGGTGACTGACTCACTTGAAGTTACTGACACATTTCAAAAGGTAAACCAATTCAGTGTGCAGACTGGAAAATGAACCACTTTAATGAAAATGGCGTAACTCCTCACCACAGCTACTAATTTGAAAAATTTAAAATTCCTGTGGAAGACAAGGTAATAACCATTTAAATGAAACACTCCTATTTTTCTCAATATACTCTATTTGCCACACAAAAATGGTGAACTTGGGTCCAGATCATTCTGACTAACCTTGTAAAGTTATAAGATTTGGTGCGCAAAGCCTTGGTACACCAAACGATATAATTCTGACCGCTCTCTTACAAGAGGGCACGTCACAAAGTGCGCCGTTCGTTTACCATTGTGGTTAACTGAGCTACAAGATTCCATAAACGAACACCACATCCTTATTCAATTTCAATTTTACAAATAAATTACGGTTTTGTGTACATGTACAAATATTTTATCGTTAAATTTGGGAATGAGCCACATACGTAGATACGCTCTATCTGAGCCATAACCCTTTATAACCCGCTAATTGTCCCCAATCGCACATACTGAAATTTGTATCCTTGTGGAGACATTTCTTTGTTCTCGCGTACTAACATTTTTGAGTTTGAAAGTACAGTTTCAAAATGCTCTTATTATAACCAGAATTAATTTCCTTGGCTGAAATTCGGACTTAATATCCCTTTTCTAAAATTCTACCATTTGCGACAAATCAACATACCTTGGAAATTTCTATTTTTTGAGTAATTTAAAATCCATATATCTATTTCGTGAAAACCTTGTGGAGACGTATTCATCTATAGAAATTGCCTGTGGAGACCTGTACAATCTTTTGTTTTTTATTGTAAGCATGTCTCCAGAGGGCACGGTGTATCAGATCGCTCTCGCACATCAGTTGCCAGCAATACAACTGCAAGGGCGGATCCAGGGGGGGGGGGCCAAAGGGGGCCATGGCCCCCCAAAAAAACGAAACCAATTTTTTTTTTTTTATGTGACATCGCAATAAAGGCAGGCAATGAGTACACCACCATCTTTTCCTCAAAAAAAAATTGGTTAAAGTGGTCAGAAATTGCCTCAGATCGCACCACAGAGCATCTAGAATCCAACAATTTTTCAGGGCCCTTAAGCGGGCCCCGAACCCCTCGCCGTAATTTTTTTGACCCACTTTTTGGGGGGACCAAATTTTTTTTTGGCCCCCCCCCAAAATTGTGTTCTGGATCCGCTCTTGTACAACTGTGCAAATGCGAAAATTAGCGGTAAAATGTTGTTGAAAGACTCATTGAGTTTCAATTCCCTGTAAATCAGGTTAAAGACCCCCGTGTTGCACTATAAGGTCGCGAACTATATCCAGTCCGTCCCTTTCTCTCAGCTTTTGTTGTTAAATTTGTCATGTGTTTTTAATAACTCTAGTCTCAAGACTGGTTTTTCTTTATCTCGTCCATACCAAAGACAATTGTTATCGCTAGGCCTGCATAATGTGGAGCTGAAACTCTCACACCCAGTTTTTTTATTTCCGCCAGCACAAGAGATAACACGGGGTACGTCACTAGCCTGTGATTCAACCAGCGATTCTGCCCAAAATTTGATGAAATCACAGGATTTTTTTTCACTCGTGCGAAAAGGAGCCCTGCTAATTCTCTCGACATTGTGCGCACGGGACGAAAACAGTTTAAATTTTTTTTATATTTTGCATCAAAAAAAAATTATGCTGTATAGCATATGACGATTTTAGAGGCTTCTCTCAAGAAAAAATAAGCAAGAAAATGGCCTGATTGTTTGGATCCCTGTATATTTTCAGTGGATCCGTTTACGCTTCCTCTTCATGGCCCTCATTTGCATACATTAGCATTTTCGGGTAAAAAGGTATATTGATATTGAACCTGATTAAAACTGTTTTTGTAGGCCTATACATTCAGTTCCAGGGACATTTTATGAGGCTCTTGATAATATTGTATGTGGGTTGTGACGTTTTAGGCTTTGAACCACATTACTTCGTCTGTTAACCAGTATTGAGGCCAATCTCACGCATATTCCTACCAGCCCAATATTTGTGCTGGTATTAAGTATCATGCCTGGCTGCACAGTGTCATCAAGTACAACAGATATATTGAAGTACATGTACGTCTACGAACAAAAACATATTTAGTTGCTGTACTCCGGCTTTATACAAACGTGGTTGTTAATTATCAACACTTCTGTTGAGCAACATGTTGTGACTGTCATGCAGTGAGTTTTGTCGAATTTGTTTGGAGGTGTCTCTGTGTGCATTTACTCAGGAATCCTTTGATTACGGTACGTGACAAAAATGATGGTATTCTCTAATGTCATTAACTACAACAATGGGTGTGGGCAACAAGAACACGCATGTACATAATGTTTTGCTTCTTTCAGATATCGGTGTCTGAGTACTGTAGTACTTTTATCTGAATTAGTTTTAGTTACTTATTTCCTGCATCAAACGTTACAATTGTACTATGTCGTGTAAATTCAATTCATCGTGTTGCGTTATTAAGTTTTTTGCATAGGAGCGGCACATGCTTAAAACGTTCAATTTCTGTGAAAGTATTGTTGATTCGAGATGGTAGGCATGGAAAAGAAACGTTTTACGATCATGTAAAGACCTACTATTAGAAAGATGCAAAAGGCAGTTTGTTTGATGTCTGCACAATGGAAATTGTTCGATGTGATCTTAACAAAATCTGTCATTGATCTGACACAACGGCCTCGCTCCTGTCACTAGGGAGGTTTCGCAAGAAAACGGATACGCTTACACTTACGTTTAGCTATCCGTATCCGTTTTTTACTTACGTGTAGCAAGCGAGTTATGTGTGTCGTCTGCACGTTTAGAGGATAGTGAGTGGCGTATGACGTCATAGCTGATGACGTATCCGTCGCACTAAACGTATCCGTTCGCATGCGAAACCTCTCTAAATAATTATTACTGTTTGGACAGGTACTATGGCGAAGAGTATAGGCCGCCTCGCCCGTAGAGGAAGAGGGATTGTGCTTCGAATGCGTCAACATAAACACAAGTTTTGAACAAAACTCTTTAAAGAAGCTACACCTAATCAACAGAAACCCCATTATAATGTGCTTCATATGCCGGACGATGTGTGATTGAGAGAAACGTGAAAAAGGGAACTGAGGGGGGTTGAATGTCTTAACGTTAATGCACTATTATACCCAGTGGCGTAGCCAGGAATTTTTCAGTGGGGGGGGGGGGGGGGCGCTAGGGGGGCTGGAACATTTCATGGGGGGCGTCATGTAGATCAATTATGACATCGCGTTTTCAACTCAATATATACGGCAAAAATCATGTGCCGCTTTTCTGATGATGAAGCCCCGAAAGTGGACGACCCAATTTTCTGCTAGCAGAATTTCAAATTATTTTAGTTGGCCCATCTGTATTTGAAAATGTCGATTTTGTGCTAATAGAAATTGGGATTATACTTTGACGACTCTCTCAGCGGATAAATAATGGGTATTGCAGAAACCAAAATCTTCTATTTTGCGTTGAAGGAAAATAAATTGTGGTTGTGAACAGTTTACATTTGTTTTTTAAAATGGGAAAATTGGGTTGTCCACTATTGGGGCTATATTCTGCAGAATGGAACGGCAGAGCCGGTCTGCTTTTTTCGGCTAAGTTGCTTTTAACTGTAACTGTTTTAATTGCCATGTCCAATCCAAATTTTACAACACATTTATCCCCTCTCCCTCCCCCCCCCCCCCCCATGTGACGTGACCCTTTATTACTTGACATGATTGTATAGGGCGTATATACATGTCAATGTCAAGTGAATTACTCAAATGAGCACGCAGACATGCTTTACGTCTAATACTCCAAGCCCACGTAGGTGCCATTTTCATTTTTGTGGGTGAATAATAATTCTTCATCCTTGGCATATAGGAAACGGCGACATTAATAACGCATGTAATTGCAAATGACGTCATCGTGTGGTAAAATAGAGTGGAGACGCAGAGGCTGGTGTTACCAGTGTCACTAATTAGGAAAGCAGGAATATCACATCCTATTCGGTGAACGGATCCTGATACAACACACACAAAATAATGAGGTATCGGTTGAGAAATGGAGAGAACCAAGTTAAATCCACTAAAAGCTATCGCCGTGGAAGAACAATGACTTTGTTTTATTATCTTTCATTCTTCTGCATCTATCGATGCTACTATGCATCTTTCAAATATGATTCCTTTAGCTGCATATAACTATTAGACAAGAGGGTTGTATTTGTTGACGAGCAATACGGAATGCAGGATTAATCAATAACATTTCATATGCGTCATTTTTTTTCTGAAAGGTGACAAAATAATATTTATTTTATGAGTTACAGTCTTTTCCTAGTTCCGGATATTTCCTAGTTCCGGATCGCTTTAAATAAAAACCTACCTCTTTTGGATTATTCTCTAATTTTTTTTCCGGCGAAGTTCGCTTTAAAAAGGAAAATATGTAAGATTATTTTTTGATTTTTTGCCCAGATTTCCGCCTTTCATTTTGACATGTTTAGACGGTTTGTAAAAAAAAATCACGGGAGCCGCGAATCGACGATAACATTCTCTCTTCGGTACGTCACACAGAACGTGTGATTTGAATATTTATTTCCTATTCAACTGTCGTATAAACTCTTGCATTGAACCGAATAAGGGGAGTCAGGTTGGCGTAGTGGTACTTTCCTCGCCCCCCCCCCCCCCGATCCGCCCTTGAAGCGGCATTAGTTCTTTTGACATCCCGTATTCAAAATCCACCCCTGTGACCCGGGTTCGAATCCCGGCCGGGCCAATATGTGGATTGGGTTTTCAGTCCCTGCCTGATTCTGTGGGTTTTCCCCAGAATATTCTTCTGGGCTTTTTCTCACTTCTCTTTACACGTTTCTTCAGGTTTTCGAGCTTACAGTGCCCAGGGCGCCATTTGGGGAATCCTTGGTTTCAGTACCAGTAATAAATAAATTCAATAAATGAATAAGTTGCATCTCTAATATTTCGTTGGGTTTTTTTTTTGGGGGGGGGGGAGGAGCATGCCCCCCTCCCCCCCCCCCCGATCCGCCCTTGAAGCGGCATTAGTTCTTTTGACATCCCGTATTCAAAATTAAAAGAGCTTAAACGTCGAAAATAATGTTGTAGCTATAGTATCTCCATCACTCAAGGTAAACTGTTAAACCAATGTCACTTGAATTCGTAGATTAATTGAGCCGAAAGCAGACTGAATAATGTTTGCGATCCGGAACTATAGCAATACGACTGTGCTGATCGTTTAAGAAATGTCCTGGGCCTTCACATCCCAACTTGGACTAAAAGCTATGTATGAGTTAGTTGGCTACGACCGGCAGTTTACGCATGTGTCTATGGAAGTTTGCCTCAGCTGCTGTTATTGCTGGCATGAATCCAAGTAACTCGGACTCGGTCTGATTGTTAATCAAAATCCACTTGGTTTTGTCACTTTCGTGTGTTTCTTTTGGATGACAATTCATTTTTTGTTCGTAGTATAGTCCGCAAGGTTGTAATATTTGAACTAATATCTATCTTGTTTGTCTCTAAGGGCCAAGAGGCAGGTTAGGGATAACCCATCAGCCCGCGCCCCACAAGGACTACACGCCATGAGACGGAAAGCCTACGACTCCGTGCTAGCCTCCCTAGGCAGCAATCAACACGACATTCTAGACGAGGATGAGGTTCGATTCCTTCAAGCTGTTGAATTCGGTGATCTGCCTACCACTAGAGCCATGCTCGACAGGCCAGATATCGTCGCCCGCCTGCTGAAATGCACGGATTATAAAGACAGGACTAGCCTAGAGATCGCTACTGAAAATGAACACTTTGATATTGTGGAATACTTGATACGAGTATGTGGTCGACAACTGCCACTACATTGTATCAATGAATCGTTGATGCTAGCTATAAGCAAGGGCTACCTGCGCATTACACAGACTCTTCTTACTCATCCAGTGTTTCAGAAGAGCAAGGATAAGTTCCGCCTCGGCAGTTTGACAAACTACTTTCAGCCGAAAAGTAACTCTAAGTTCGACCAAGACATCAGCCCTATCATGCTAGCTGCACACTGCAATGAAATCGATATCATAAGGTTGTTGCTTCGACGAGGAGATGCCGTGAAGAAACCACACCACTCACTCTGTGAGTGTACATCTTGTCACAACAAACGACTGTATGATCCTTTGAAACATACCCTGGCTGGTATCCATGCATACCGTGCATTAGCCAGCCCAGCCTATATATCGCTTACCAGTCAAGATCCTATCCTCACTGCCTTTCTACTTAGCCAGGAACTTATGCAACTATCCAAAATCGAAAAGGAGTTCAAGGTAAGTTCCAATCTACAGTATGTCCCAACACATTGTCCGTCTAATAACTACAAAACCATGCGATAATTTTGATCGTTTTGGTTGTGCAGATAGTCCTAGTTAAGCCTTGGCCTCAACCATAAGGGTTGCCGATTGTTGAACGTCAGTGATGTTTCATCTCATGATTCTTGGTTTCTCCTTTTGTCTATTATTGATGTTTCATCTCATGATTCCTGGTTCCTCCTTTGTCTATTATTGATGTTTCATCTCATGGTTCCTGGTTCCTCCTTTGTCTATTATTGATGTTTCATCTCATGATTCCTGGTTCCTCCTTTGTCTATTATTGATGTTTCATCTCATGATTCCTGGTTCCTCCTTTGTCTATTATTGATGTTTCATCTCATGATTCCTGGTTCCTCCTTTGTCTATTATTGATGTTTCATCTCATGATTCCTGGTTCCTCCTTTGTCTATTATTGATGTCTCATCTCATGATTCCTGGTTCTCCTTTGTCTATTATTGATGTTTCATCTCATGATTCCTGGTTCCTCCTTTGTCTATTAATGATGTTTCATCTCATGGTTCTTGGTTCCTCTTTTGTCTATTATTGATGTTTCATCTCATGGTTCCTGGTTCCTCCTTTGTCTATTATTGATGTTTCATCTCATGGTTCCTGGTTCCTCCTTTTTCTCATTAATGATGTTTCATCTCATGGTTCTTGGTTCCTCCTTTGTCTATTAATGATGTTTCATCTCATGGTTCCTGGTTCCTCCTTTGTCTATTATTGATGTTTCATCTCATGATTCCTGGTTCCTCCTTTGTCTATTATTGATGTTTCATCTCATGATTCCTGGTTCTTCCTTTGTTTTTTTTTTATGTTTCCACTCGTGATTACTTGTGGAATCATTTTAGTACTTGGGAAAATTCAATCCAATCGATCCGTTATTCGTAACATAGTTTGAACACTTAAGGGTTAGTCTCAACAATTTGAGGTCACGTTTGAGAAGGAGTTGGTATTAAGGAGCGGGCGTTTATCGTGCTTTATGTGATCAAAATATGAACTCGGGTTTGCAAAATTACGAGGGATTCCTCGTCGTGGACATAAAGGAACGCAAAAACCAAAAATATAACCTAGGCTATATTGTTGTAAATCCTCGGTACTTCAGTTGAAAAGCCTTGCAAATGACGAGTGGGGTCAATAGGGAGCTTGCCGCGTTTCATTTCAATATTACCTGGACATCATCTACAATGGCAACTGACAGTCTAAGTACCCTACGGATATTTGCTTCCATCAGCTTTAGTCAAACTACTCAAGTCCAACCAAATTACTTCCGCTTGTCGTTAATCATCTGTAACTCTTCAGTTCAACGGAGTACCATTATCAACATGACTTCATACAACAAAAATGGAACTTCCCATAGCTCTAATTTCAGAAAGGTCTTGATCAAAAGCAAATGAACAGCTGCAGTTGTTACTTGTCAAGAATGGGATTACACCGAAATAATTATTTCAAACATTAGCACCACATATCAACAAGTATGCGTTTTTGCACATGTATGCGTGTGCGTTGGGTATCATTATATTTCACATAGCCGACCTGGATTGTACGTAATCACATGGAGCGAAGGAAAAACATCTTTTTTAGGGAAATAAATATATATAAGAATAATATTGTGAGGATTAAATGTAATTGTATTGCACGCACTTCGATTCATTATTTGGGGGATACATTTTTGGGGGTGACATGTCCGCCTACCCAAATCGCCACCGTGACAATACAAATCGCTTCACGTATTATATACGAATCCTCCTCCTGCAAAAAAACCCACATTTTTTTGGAAACCGATCAAATCGTACACTATTGAAACACATCGCAGAATCCAACATTAGATAAAATAAGTCACATCTACCTAGATGAGTCATGGTCCCAACATAAGCTGGGATCGTTCCAACGGGAGCGTTCTAGTTGGAACACTTTAGTTGGATTTTGGAACGGTGGGACCGATGGTCGAGTTTTGGCGCAATGTATTATAATACTCTGCATGATGGGAAAAGCACGTGTCCTGAGAGGCCCGTTAAACAAATCAGCCATTTCTATATTGAAATCGGATTCGTCACTCGGAGTCCGTTTAGGGCTAGAATTCTAGTATGCACTTCTTTTAATCAAAAGAAAGTGACCGTACTATATCCGATGGGACATATTGTACACGAAAACTCAAAACTTTACATGCTTACGAGACTAATAACTGGTTGTCTAAAATTTAAACAGGATTTAACTGGTCACCCAGACAAGATAGTTTGCCAGACTGACTGGACGCGTGCTCTAACTTGTTAGGTCCCGTTTCGACCCGAACGTCCAATTTGTGTAAAAGTTGTCGTTGCGGGCAGCAAACAAAACACAGTAAATCGTGACGTAATAAACAGGACTCGTATATGCTACTCTGCATCGGGAGTCCTGTTTATTACGTCACGATTTACTGTGTTTTGTTTGCTGCCCGCAACGACGACTTTTACACAAATTGCACGTTCGGGTCGAAACAGGCATAACAGGACTTGAAACACAGCTCTCAAAAGTACCTTTTGTACTCATTTTATGACAGAAACAATAGTCGTTTTTATTTCATCACACCTTAGGCTACATATACCCGAAAAATGACAGAAATGTCTTCGAGCATTCCACAACCTCTTTAAATGACGAATTGTTTAGTCAGGATGCATCTTACCTTTTTGACATCCTAATGATCTCGTCAGCCCGGCTTTTTATCAGTTGTACTGTCCATGTATGGGTGTGGCATCCGGGGTTTTCAAATTCAGTTGCTAATTCTCCAGCGAGCGAAACAAATCGGCCACTGTAGTTAAAATAATTAACTACGATTTAGATTTTGAAATTAGATATTTAATAAGGTTTGAAGTTTCTCAATCTTAATTATTGGTGCATAACAATCTTACAGTAATTGGGAAAAACATTTTGATAACCAAACACAAATGTAAAGATTGTGATAATAAAAACCAGCCTGGCGCAGTACAGTGAAACATTGAAGGATTAAATGTGAGGAGAAATGGAAATTTCAATCAAGCCAGGAAATCAGTCACCTGTTTGATGAGATATCGCGCGTGGTTTACCATTGCGAGCGCTCTTACAGCATGGGAAAACATGTACCATGATTGCAATACGTAATAAAAGAACTAAATCCAATATTTCAATTTACATTTCCCCGCCCAAAATGCCGTAATAAATAGATGGCGAAAGTATTCTTTTGCATAATCCTGAATCATATGACACTGTATTAACTTCGATGGCCATTATAGAATGTGATAATTTTATGTTATTTTTTTATTTTTGGGGTCATAACGTTGAGTATCTTTTCTGAAATGAGACTATAGTCTCCTTTGGATATAGTTTCCTTAAGATATTGATATTTTTTTCTTTTAAAGTGTAGGTAATGGTGATGATTGGAACAATGAACTTCCAACTCCATTATTATATCAGTTGGATTGAAGCGACTGTACATGTATGTGACAGCCTCCCTCCTATAAGAAAATAGTTATTATTACGAGGATTTCAGTGTGTTCCAAGTCCAACAACAGAATAGTCTACACAACCATGTTTGTTGCTACACCACAATCAAACGCAGCCGCTGGACGAGACTGATGTCAAGTGTTTTAAAAAAAAAAATCTGAAATTCAGAAGGACATTCAAGCTTAAAGCTTGGATTGGATGCATGTATACCTGAACGTGTCTTCATCAAGCGCGTATGCATCAATCCTCTCCCGGTCCTTCGTGTTATCGATCGCTTGCAGGATTATAATGTCCAAGGTAAATTTAATAGTTACCGTAAACATTTAAAGCGGCGTTCGTTGCTCATGTTTACACAAGCCTGGTCTGACCGATTTGCAGTATGTCATCAACCTGAATGGTGACGTTAGACGAGATGATACAACAACGGCATCCAGACAATTATAAGTGAATCAGAAATTATCAAATAATCCTTGGACAAAATATGTGACTACTACTAGGCTGATTCTGGTACATGTACGCAGTGCTTTGCATGTCAGCCTGCGTGGTGGTTCGTACATACTGTACATGTACCATACGTGTACGTCAGTGACACCTTAAATATTTGGTACAGAATTTGGAAATGTTTAGCGTATGGATTCAGTGCTTAATTTGGACATGTTTTCCCTTTACTGTGATAGGGGAATTGTGTCCCCTTCCGATTTTTTAAAAATAAAAACAGCAGGACGATACTTTTAAACCCAATCGATTTTAGCGGTAGGCTACCGATCTGAGACCTAATCTATATTCTACCTACCTTAATAATGCCAACCCTATAGGTTTTGCACTTAAAAAAAGTGTATTAATGCTGAAAAGGGGCGTGGTTAAACTACATGACGTCATGTGTATAGTACCGTACATATCTGCATAATGTTGGGAAAAGGTGTCAATATATAGAAAGACGAGTTATACAATTGCAATCGTGTCACTGTTTTCTCAAGTTATTACTTTCCCAACATTATGCAGATATGTGCGGTATTATACACATGACGTCATGTGTTTTAACCACGCCCCTTTTGAGCATTAATACACTTTTTAAAATGCAAAACCTACAGGGTTGGCATTATCCATGTACCTTGTATTGCAAGTACCATAACAAATCGTAACAGCACACCGTTTAACAGTTAGCCTACAAAATGCAATGTACAACTAGAAAGCACTCAGAGAGCGCAAACCTTCGTCAAGGCTAAACAATTCCCATATTGTCAGTACACCAAAAAGAAATACTCGCATAAATTGTGAGGAATCCTTTAAAAAAAATACTGGATCCAGACCCAGTTCCGGAGTACTTCCAAAATCTAATTTAATTTTAACGCAAATCCGTCCATAACTTTTTGAGCTATCTTGTTAACAGACAAACCAAACAACCAACCAACAAACAAACTAACCAAATCCGATGAAACATGACCTCCTTTGCAGAGAAATAATACCCAAACCGGCATTGTTTGAGAATCCGTTTCATTTCACCGCAGAATGAGTACAGAGATCTTGGCAAGCAATGCAAAAAGTACGCATCGGATCTACTGGACATGTGCCAAAATTCGCAGGAAGTCCGTACCATTCTCAACCAGAGGGGTAACACCATGGAGGGCTTTGCTCCAGCCGACTCTGAAGAACAGATAGATGGTGACTTGGACCTGGAGACAGACACTAACGACAATGATTTGGCCAGATTACGCCTTGCTATCAAGTACTACCAGAAACAGGTAAATTTTGGTCAACTAGAAGGTCTAAATGAACATCGAATAAAAACAATACCGCAGATATGTTTAAACGGCCATATTATGTCCATGGCTCTTGAATAAGAATTGTGGTTCTTTTTCATCAGGCCTTCGTGTCTACATAATCTTCTCATCTGCATATTATCAGGCTGTCTTTTCTCATCAAATAGAACATGCTCTGTATTATGTACTGTAGAATTACCCATGCAGAGTACAGATAGAACATTTCTAAACTTCTTCCAATCCAAACAATTTCAGTTCAAAACTAGCGGGTGTAGAAATTGGTAGGGGTGTAACGATTCCAGGTGCGGATCCAGGATTCAGGATCCAGGGGGCGACGGTCAGGCAGTCAGATACAGATAATAACCCCTGTAGAATGTCATCTGCTTTATTATTGCCATAATTATTATAACTGTTTTGGTGTCAGGCCAGGGGGGATTCCCGTTCCCCTCCCCCTCTTGATCTGCGCCTGGATTCACCGATGCATAGATAATCGCGATAAGAAAATGCCGTGATACGGCATCGCGATGCGAAAATGCGTATCGTGAGTCTTGTGATGACGACTAGTGAATCACCCCACTTACAAATCTGATGGGAAAAAAAGCAAGATTTTAAAAAGGAGGCATCGTTTCTTAGTGTCACAATAATTGCAACCTTAACATGACGCCGAAAACCATTCCAACTGCCCGCCCGGCCTCCCGATGGAACGCATCCCGATGTCACAGTAAATTTGAAAACCCAAGGAAATTGTACGTGAAAGCGGCCGATTTTATTCTAGCCGGGCATACCTAACGTATCGGCCTGACACGCTTTGCCAAATTCCCGATACGTTTGAAATCCACTGAAGCGCAATCGATATGCTTCCCATTTTCCTTGGCCCAAAAAAAATCCCAAGGATGTCTGATAATTGTGTCTCAAACTTATCAATCAATTTATAACCCATATTCACATATTAAAATATATAACGAACGTTTACCGATCAACGGAGAGTTCTTGTGTATTACAATCACCAACCGCTCTGACTGCATGCATATGCATTTTGGAGAAGGGGTGTACGTGCTCTATCAGAACATTTGCCAACTTTAACAACGTTTCAAAATCGCAAATACATTTTCCAAATCAAGGCAATAACATTTTTGTGGTCACACATTGGTTTATAAATGTCCACTTATTTTCAGCTGCGGGATAGCAGCTCAACAAATCATCATGTCTCTCCGATAGTCAGTTAGTCGGTCTATCAGTCGGTCGGTCCGTCGGTCGGTCCGTCGGTCGTTTTTTTTTTTTTTTACTCAAAACATGACATGGCACAATCACATGACTCATGCATAAACCACACGCATTCGTTGGCCCGCAGCTTCCGAGATCCGATCGAGTTCGTTTGGTAAGGAATTTGTATAATCTGTTCCATGAAGCTATATAATAACAAGTGCGAGTGCACAATAAGCTCTGGCCGTGTTGCAAGAAGTCTCGATCAAAATGATACCTGTCAGAGCTCAAAAATGCGACGCCAAAAAATGCGACGTCGATGGCACATAATGGAACACCATACTTTTGGTCAATTTTCGGGACCGACAAACAGACCTTCCGACTGACCGATCGACAGACCACCATGTGACATGTACATAAGAAGTTCCTGCCAGAGCTCAAAAATATGAAGTGGTTATAGACAAACCCCTGAAATCTCCTGTTGAGAAGAAATAGGAGAGTTAATATGCATCATGAAACCCCTTAGGAAGTAAGAAAAAAGTTATCAGAACCTCTAAGCTGGTAGAAAATAGGTGGTAGCAATTGGTACTCCCTAGGAGGATAGAAAAAAGTGAGAGTGCACAATAACCTCTGGCCGTGTTGCAAGAAGTGTTGCAGGAAAGTCTTGCATGAAATCGATCAAAACGATCCCTGCCAGAGCTGAAAAGTGCGACGCTGAGAAATGCGACGCCGATGGCACATAATTATGAAACACCATACTTTTGGTCAATTTTCGGGGACAGACAGACAAACAGACAGACAGACCAACCACCAAGTGACATGTACAAGCTCCTGCCAAAGCTTAAAAAAGCTTAGAGGCACCCCTGAAGAAATAAATGGATTATTCCTCTCAGGCTCTCTTATTTTCTTCGGACGAAGAAATGCGAAATCGAGATTAAAATGTATATATGTATTAAAATGAATGTTCCTTTTTTTTTTAATTGAAATAAGTGAATTTAGCCCTGCTTGGTGCTGAAAAAGGGAACTGATTTGCATTCAATAAAGAAAAAATCAGTGGTTCAAGAGTTTGCCTTTTGTAGACACGAAGCACTTTTTCAGTGGTGAAACATTTGCGACTAAGAATGAGCTTGAAAAATGAATATTTTAACTGTTATCAAACCCATCGTACTCTACCATCGTACTCTACGACAGGGGTGTTGGCCTTCTTAAACAAGACCCGGCAGCGAATTTTCTTTCCCAAACTACATCCGCATACATGGTTGTTTAGCGCCCTATACGATACTTTTATGACACGCACGCAGGTATATAATTATTTTTTCCCCGACAAATTGGCAAGCAGTGCGATAGCGGGGTAGCGGATTCGAACCGCCGTTTTGTACCCGATTTTGTTTCCTTTTCTAACCTGAGGCTTCGGAGGATTTTTTTTTTAAGGGAAATAATGTCTATTATAAGATGGAATTTTGCGTCGGGGCGATATAAATCAAACAATGTCCGAATTTCATTACGTTCGAATTCATGTTTTTTTTCCTAATTTTATTATTTTCTTCTCATGTTTTTAGAAAAGTCCAAAACGCCATAGCGTACACATTGTGCGGATGTCGTTTGGGAGGGAAAAAATCGCGACCCGGCAGCAAATTTTCTTTTCTCAAACGACATCCGCATACATGGCTGTTTAGCGCCCTCTACGATACTTTTTTGATACGCACGCATGTGTATAAAAATTATTTGCTTCCCCACGTTTTGGCGAGCAGTGCGACAGCTCAGTCGATATATAGGGTAGGATTTTGCAAAACGCCATAGCGTACACCCACATGTGGATGTCGTTCGGGAGAAAAAAATTCGCGACCCGGCATCTGTGTCAACGTACCGACATGACCGAAAGGATAACAGTGCAATGTACTAAGTACTGAACTGTCTGAACATGTACTGGTACATGTACTGGTACATGTATATCACACATTTGGATATTCACTTATCATTAACATAAACAAACTTCTACATACATGTTTGAACTATTGCGTGTTCTTTTATTTATAATCATGAAAACAACTTCATACAAGCAGACAACTTTCAAATGGGAGCTGGATAAACCAATATTCGACCAAGACTGCAGAGTCCATATTATATTAAGTATCAAAAGCAAGAAAACACAAAAATCGACACCAAAATGACGGACTCGATTCTATATATATAGAATCCGTCATTTTGGTGGCGATTTTTGTATTTTTCTATTTTCTCTAGGCTCTAGCTCTCTTGTAAAAGATGCCAATTGCAAGGTCATGTGTTCTTGGTATGTAGGGGATATTTACGGGGCAAGGGTGCATGCGTTTGCCCACTTTTTGAAAATCATGAATTTTGTTCTAAATGATGCAGACGGTTCACACCAGTGTTGTAGTCGAGACCGGATAGTCCGAGACCGAGACCAAGACCGAGACCTGAAGCTGCGAGACCGAGACCGAGACCGAGACCAGTCCCTTCAAGGCGGACCGAGACCGAGACCGAAATGGTCCGAGACCAAGACCGAGACCGAGACCGCGGATAATAAATAACAATAATCTAAATAAACAACAAGACACTAATTACAGCTGAACAGTCTGTCCTTGAGATGTTGATGTTCATGGGGATGTGAAGGAAGTGATTGAAAGTTAGGAATCACTTGTTTGTTTCTTGTTCCTCTGTCATTTACCTCTGAAGAAGACCTGGCTAAGGCTGAAATGTAATGCCACTTTATTTTTGTTTAATGTCAATAACGTTACATATACTATAGAAGATCGATGAACCATATTTGCCAGCACCCGATTTCATCAAACTCTTCGTAACTTACGATGCATCGCAGCGCTGCGACGCGTCGTATCTCTACGATGCGTCGCAGCTGCGACGGGTCCTGCGATCCATTTCACTAAACACGTCGTAAGTGCGACGCGTCGTAGGTGTATTTATAGCACAACTCGGTGACTGTTTTATGTCTTTAGTCAGCGTACAGTAAATAGTCGTCTGATATTCAACAAAGAGTCGTCGGATCTCAGCTCGAAATTTGTTAAAACGTAAAACAAAATGGCGGCCGTGCGATGCAATTTTGAAGGAAAACAAGCTCTCATTGGACTGTATAGCTACTTTGAAATTTCAACTCTAATATTCCGGTCTAATTCATAATTATTCAATGAATTTTGTATTTACAACTGTACACACATTGCCTCGGTATTATAATCTCGTTAATGTAATGTTTGTGGCATAAAACTGGCTTAGAAATGACTCTTCTTATTTTGCGACGACCACTAGACACGTCGTAACTTGCGACGTGTTTTAAGCCGTTGTCAAGGAACTTACGACGCGTTCAACACATCGCAACTATAGTGAAATGGAAGATACGACGCGTCGCGAGTTGCGACGTGTTACACGTCGTAACTTGAGTTGCGACGCATCGCAGCGCTTCGTGAAATCGGGTGTCTATCTTCTGTTCATCTGCCCGCCGTCATCATCGTCATAAGCCTTTTAGAGAATATGGCCGACACAATAGAAGGGCGCTGTAACAAACTGAATGTGGTGGGCGAGACGCACTTTTAGGATGCATGGCTCAGTGCGCACGCCTCTCTGTGTTTTGTACCGTGCCAGCGTATCGCTCGCATCGGCTACTTTGCCGGGCAATTTACTTGAATATTTTAGTGACAAGTACGACATTGCCAAAATTCTAATCGCTTATTGTGATGGCCGTAAACAGCATATAGCGATTAATGAAACAAAAGTCTTCTCGACTCATGCAAACGCAATTGACATTTAGGAAGGAGACGAGGCAGGCAATAAGACTCTATTTCTGTGTGACCATGGCATTAGCTCAATTTGTGTTTATCACAGATGAAAAGATGAATACATGGCGAGTCAAAAAGAAAGTGACCGTATGATAAAAAAAATGGCACGCTCCATTTTGTAAAAAATATAATTGGGATAAAGAACATGTTATTGAGTAGTAACTGTGAACATTTCACGTAATTTGCATACTATTCCCAAGTCGTGTCTATTTTAATAAAGAGATCACAAAATTCAGCTGTCCACCACTAATACCAATTTAACGGTCTACGAATTGATGAATATCAATTAATAAATATAATAAAAAAAAAACGTTTTCCCGCCTCCACGAATAAAGGAAAAATTGAAAAGGAAAATCGAAAAAAAATCACCAATATTTCTAGGGAAAAAGAGTTGAATTGTTCCCCATATTCAAAATACAAAATCTGACGGTAAAAATAATGTTTTAGTCTTGGTTCATAAGATTTAAATCTCAGTTGTACTTGGAATCAATGAGGATGGCTATAAAGTGCTTGTTTCAACATATCATCCCACAATAAAAACGAGAAATAAGAAGAGGAGCAATGGTTATTGGACTATGCCTCACTCACTAGAAAGTGAAGAGAGACATGTCCATTAGCATCACACTGCAGTCACATTTTCCCTAAACTGATTCTTTACTTATCCCTAAAAGGGCCGGGGCGGAATCCGCCCCCCCCCCCCCCCCCCCACTTTTTGGCTGGTCTCGACTCGAGACCAGCCAAAATATCGAGACCAAAGGGGACCGAGACCGAGACCACAGCTCCCGAGACCGAGACCGAGACCGAGACCGAGACCGGCAAAAAGTGGTCTCGAGACCGAGACCGAGACCGGTCTCGAGACCTACAACACTGGTTCACACCACAATGAACTTCAAAACAGACATTTTATAAGGAACGTATTATTCTTTATAATTTTCAGGACTCTGAATGTGTATCATATTGCAATTAATTGTTTGCTTTTGGTCCTATAGTTCGTGGCCCATCCTCATTGTCAGCATCAGCTAGCTACCATGTGGTATGATGGCTTCCCTGGATGGAGGCAGAGCGGATTTCTCTACAAGATTCTCTTGACTCTACTCATTCCTCTGTGCTTACCATTCCTCGCAGTCATCTACTGGGTGGCACCTTATTGCAAGGTCAATATTTAGTTCCCAAAATAATGTCTGCCATTAGTTTAAACGTTAGTTTTGTTAAGCTTGGTTTACGCTTCTCCGTACATTTACTAGGGCCTTCTTATCAGAGCAACGTGACATTTTATGTATTTGGAACCGAATGGCACTTAAAAATAAGTACAAAGTGCCACTTCAAAGGTTTTCGACTTTAATTACAAATTGAGTCGAGGACATCTAAAATGAATACGAAGATTTTGCATATTCAACTCATTATGTATTTCCAAATCGCATACCGAATGTGATAATCCCCTGTTTAATACTGTGAAAAATTAACTTTGTCGTGCTTTGCACGTGTCATGTCGATAAAATCACAACCGCTTTCACCTTTTTATGATAATCTCTGAATTGCATTAATGCACTCAAGATAATATCTTCAAAATCTTCAAACCCTGTTGATTACGCTGTAAGCCTGGGTTTTTTTTAATGCATTTAATGTATATATGTATCATACAAATCGCCAGAGCTAAAGGAGAAGAGCTCTGTGACTATATACAATCTGACAGCTGTTGGATATCTCAAACCATTGGTTATCATAAAGGACTAGCTGGATATAGGTTGATTGATATATCAAAAGTAGCAATAAAGCTGTTTTCCTCTTCTGTTTTTCAGCTGAGTCGGATTGTCAGCACCCCTCTGGTCAAGTTTATCACCCACACAGCCAGCTACCTTGTCTTTCTCATCTTCATCTTCCTAGAATCCACGCTAGTAGAGACTTATGAGAGTCCAGGAAACATTCAGAATTCTAGGAACTTCAGGACCAGTGTAAACCGCTCCATAAATGCCAGCCCAAACGGATCCTGTGCGAAAATCTTCAATGCTTCATTAATTGCTGATACAAAAAACATATTCCCTGTGCGTTTTTCCTCTTTCACGATTTTTGAGTGGATTATCATCTTGTTTGTCGTAGGTAAGTGATAGCGAATAATTATATTCCAAAGGTCCGAGTGTTTTTTTTTTAAGTTTAGCGATATATCTCTGTGACTGGACAATACACGCAGTAAAGTCAATCTCAATCATTCACGTTAATTGGGGGCGACGGTTGCCTCCATAATAATTGCCCATTTGCATGAAAACTATCGTCAACTACAGTTGACGCCTACAATGATTTCCAGAAATCACACATTAAAACGCTATTACGTCGTACACGACAAGCCTGTGACCTTTCAAGATCGATTCACCTTTACTTCTTGTAACACGTCTACAGATCGTGTTTGTTCCTAAAACGGTTTTTCACTGCGTGCATGAAACACGACAATGAATTGCTGTGCAAAAGCAGCGAGTGTTGCATAGTATTTCGGACAATTCATGTTTGGAGTATATAAGTTTTTTAAAATGCTAATAACAGACACATGTACGATACTTATATTTGGCGCATTCAAGCGACATATTATGTTTCCTCCTTTTACTTGTAGCTTTTGGCAAAATTTAACATTTTTTCTTACATTAATAAGTAAATGAGGCGGTTACTTTAACTTCACTAGATTTTTATCAAAAAAATGTATTATTTATTTCATAGCAGTATCACAATGCAGTTACTGGAGTGTTGCTAATACGAATTTTATTGAGTGTTGGCGCAAGGTAACATTGTAATATGTACACCTATGTCTATGATGTCTTGTATGGGAATATGAACAGACATAAATATGATTGACAGCACGCGGTGTTTAGAACAAAATCTGTCCGTCAATTAAGCTTGTTTTCGATGAATGGTGGTACATGTGTATACGTTTACGTTATTAGCAAAATAATAATCAAGTGTTAACTGCCATTCACATACAATTTTAATAATGATTTTCATCGAGTCTACAAGAACGAAAAGTACAAAAAAAAATCCTTTTGATAACGCTACAAAATAAACAACATAGAGACATATATACGTTAATACCCCGGATCGAGATATCATGGCATCGGCTTCGGTCTTAGGCCTATTTCAAAAGATTTTTTTTGACAATTATGGGCAACATGCAATTATTTAAAGAATGCACTAATGTGTGAGTTTAATATTCTTTGAAATTTCAAAAGCATGCATGTAAATAAGGAAGAAAGAAATTGTCCACGTCGGCCTATGAGGCTATGAACGTTTCCAAACTTTGTCGTGTTTGTATTCTCCAAATCATCAATTTGGCTCCGTTCCAAAACATCAATCCCTTCGCTCTCAAAAAGAAATGTGGTGTACGTGACATGGATACATGCCAAGTCTGATTTGAAGCATGATGCATCACGCGTGTGTGTTAATGCTGACAACAGATTACCAACATCCTTTCCCTTCACAGGCACATTATGGGCGGAGATTAAGCAGATATGGGAGGAGGGATATCGCCGCTACTTAGCCTCGATATGGAACTGGTTGGATATTGCTATGCTGAATTTTTACATGACGTCATTTTCGCTGAAGTTTTGTAGTTACCACAAATCAAGCATCGCCATTGGATTTTTCGTGAATGACCCCGATGATGCGTGTGATCAAGTTATCATGGGGGACCCGGAGGCTGCACAAATGAATTACTTCGTTAGAGGAGGTATGTACAGAACTCTTCAAAGTATCAATAACGTCATCTGTCCTGATATTAACCTTACCAGCAATTTACATAGTCTAATCGCGTTTCGATAGTTTATATTTAAACTGTAGGCATTGACTTATCTTTTCTTTATTTCAGTGTCTTTTTATAGGAGGGATCATGATGACTGGGCAGGTCAAATGCCCCTCTTGCCCCTACTGCGGCCAGGCTTGCGATGCTCATGTTAATAACACTGATAAGTAAATATGACATTCATGTGGTTATTGCTGTCTCTGTTTTGATGCAGATCGCCACGTGTGGAATGATGACGATCCTATTTTATTAGCTGAAGCTCTGTTTGCCATTGCCAATGTTCTGAGCTTCAGTCGTATGTCCTACGTCCTGCCAGTCAGTGAATTCCTAGGACCGTTGCAGATATCTCTAGGCCGCATGCTGGGTGATATCGTAAGGTTTGGTGTTGTCTTTGGAGTAGTCTTTATGGCTTTCTTCTGTTCCCTGTACAACTTGTACTGGTCTTATGAACCTGAGCAGGACGAGGATGGCTGTGCAGTTAAGAAGGCCGGCTTTGGATTTGGCACGTGAGTATGATGTTTCGCAGATTTTGATACATACAATTTTTTTTTAATCAGAGGTCGTAATATTTTTTAAGAGATCTATATGGTGGCAGAACACAATCACATATCGTGGTTCGTAAGGTAAGGGTTGCCATGCCGTACATAAATTGATTGCTTAAAATCCAAATACTTATTTCTTTCTTATTTATTACGTATTTGCCAGGTTTGACCACACCTTCCTCACACTGTTTTGGGCATTGTTTGGCCTGGCGCAACCCGATGACCCCAATATCCCCAATAGTCAAGCCTATGGGCAGAATGGACATCGGTTGACAGCTTTCGTTGGGACTTTATTGTTCAGTGTGTACTTCGTGGTCATGGGTCTTGTCATGCTCAACATGCTGATTGCAATGATGAGCAATTCATTCCAGGAAATTGAGGTAAGAAATTGCTTTTATTTCATGGCATGAGTAATTCTGATGACGGTGGAAACACCCGGCCCGCCCACATTATTTGACTTTATTTTTTTTCTACCATGCACGTAATTCTTGAAGCGTAGCCCAAGCTTACACTCAGAATGTTTTAATTTGCGACAATTAAGGGGTAAGTGTGAAGTCTATTGCTGACACGTTGGATCGTGGTTGTTTGCGTTGGCGCTATGTATTGGTGGCCTTAAGTTTGCGTAAATGGTATCGGGGTTAGCAGCAGCCCCCGAAATGGCACATTGACGTCCTTATGTACGTGTATATAAGGACGTCAATGTGCCCAATATAAATAGGCGGTTTCTTCATTAGATTTGTGGAAGTGTTTTATGGTTATTCAATGTTTTGATAGCTGTGTTGATACATGTACGTTGTAAATTAAACTTTCGTTAAGGCCTTGTCGCCGTGACGACCAACCATAGTTGCCATACAGTCACCGGTTAATACTGTGACGTAGAGAAACAAAGGGTTGTGTGGGAAAGTCTTTTCTCCGAAGTTAAAATATTATGGTCAGTCAACAGTTTTTTTTATGAATCAGATTTTGTTTGGCCATGCAGTGTTGCATTTAATCGTTTTAATGAGCAAGATACAGTAGGCTACATGTCAAATGTAAATTTAAGCTATCCAAAAATGTAGAGACATTAACTTGCTATATACATACTATTATTTTGAGCACAGAGCGACCAAGACGTGGAGTGGAAATTCGCCCGATCACAGCTCTGGTTGTCATACTTCGAGAGAGGAGCCACACTACCCATCCCGTTCAACCTCATACCTAGCCCCAAGAGTTTTCTCTATGCGTACAGATGGTTACGTCGGCAAGTCAAAAACTACAAGAAGAAGAAGGAACAGAACCAGAGTACGAGGACAACCATGCCCATGAGTGACCGGGTGAGTGTGTTCATGTAAGCTTTGAAAATGGAACGATAGTCCTGTCGCAGCGCATAGAAACCAAGAACTGTCAATGGTTATTATACAGGGTGTTTTAAATGACAGGATTTAACTCGTCATCGAGAAAAGATCATTCTCCATGGCAACAAGATAGAACAAACTATCTTGACAAGATGACAGCTGGCTGAAGACACAATGTGAACCTTTCGTCACTTGGTCACGGATTTCAAAGTGAGGCTACTACACCTCATTGTTGTTTAATAGAACAAACTCGTAAAACAATTTTGTATGTTTCCTGTTTAATTGAAACGCTGAAGTAGTCTGTGATTGTTCGGAAAATAATATGAGTGTCCTTAATCCCTGACAGCGTAATGGCGTATTTAACATCATGAACCAATCAGAGCTGAGACGCAGTGAGAGTATACACGAGGTGAGATTGTGTCATTGATATGAACGTGTTCGTATATAATAAGGGAGAAAGTGCAATTCAAAGTATGCAGCATACCACGTCAACATGCAGAATCAACGCCTCATAGGTCCGATGCCTCATAATTTGGACTTATGAGGCGTCAGACTTATGAGGCATATATTCCGCCGCATAGGTCCGACGCCTCATGTCCGACGCCTCATAAATTTCGGACTTATGAGGCGTCGGACCTATGAGGCGTCGGACTTATGAGCGGACTCCGTCCACTAGGCTATGTGTTAAATGTATATGCAGTGCCTTAGCAACAAACAGCTATACATTAGGCTTTGTAATGACAGTCAGATTTAACTTTAGTTTTTTTGTGGTGTATAATATGTGGTAGTTTTGAACTTCAAAATTGTGGAAATTGCCGGTCATTTTGAAATTTCTTCAAGTTTGTGGTTGGCAGCTGTGATGATGCCCCTCTTCAGTGCACCTGATGAAACAGTTGTAGCTATACGAAAGCTTATGCACACTTGCACTCTAATTAGTCATTTAAAGTGCTACCTTACTTTTATATATTCAAGTTTGTGGACATTGCAGGCACGATATTGGCTACTGACTCTTTGATCCGTTTGTTTGTAGAGCACCATGAAGGGTGTTGTCAGGAGGTATCTCTTCAAGCTTCAACGTGAAAAGGAAAATGACGAAGTCAATGAAGGTAAGCGTAATGCTAGCTTTCACTAAGGACTTATATTATGGTCTATGCAAAGTATCCGAATGAAAACACGATGCTTTATTAATTTTTACGTGTTTAACTTATCGTCACTTATTGTACCAAAAGCTGTCGTAGCATGACTGTTAGTTTCATGGAATTGAATTGAAGGCAATTAGGCCTAACATGCGTCCGAGATGAAATCAGAGATTTTGAATATAATATACGTTTAAAATGCGTAATGTCAGTTGAATGATTATGATGAACAAATTGGATGGGATATCCCTTTACGATGTTATATATTAATGTGATATGTGGCATGCTAACGCAAAGCTTAAACACGGTATAGAAAACTCGAATTCTTGTTGGTACTTATGGCTGAAATATTTCTTTCCGACCTTACTTGACGCAGGCGAACTTGATGAAATAAAGAATGATATATCCAGTCTTCGTTTTGAGTTGATGGAGCAGCTCCGTAAAGACCCCAAGTCACCGGTCACTCCTGCCCCTGTCCAGCCAGCTGATGTACACCTACAGGAAAATGCCGTCAAATCAATGAGCTTTCACATAGCATGCGTCGAGAACAAAGTGGAGAATCTGATTGAGCAGATGGAATCATTTCGGAAGGACCTACTAACGGCCGTGAGTGGCAAGCCGCCTGTACCATCACGCATCCAGTACATTTGAAGACAGTATTGTTCATAATGATTCCACTTGGAACGTAATTTGACTGATCTGGAGCAAGAATTCCCAATCGTTCCATTTCACCCCTCGATCTGCCGACAGGATTAACCTCAGCCATAGTATTCTGTCTAATCCACATGTAGATCAAATGCGAGGCTGTACTTGGATTTTTGAGTAGCTTCTATAGTTATAGGTTTGAAACTAACTATATACATGTACAGAAACTATATTCATGTGACATTAGATTTCCTTGCAGCTGCAGGCGCTGATTCTTCCTATTTGATCTGGAAATCAGCGCCAGTCTATAAACGTCGTGTAAAATCGGCGAAATCTCCACAATGCCGCCTTAAACTTTAATCATAGAGTTACTGATTTATTTAAAGGGAATGTACATTTGCTTTTGCTGCAATTTTCAGAAATATATGAATTTGGAGGATCAGTATGTTATAGCAAATATTGTTAAAATGACTTGTTTCACGTTTTGGGCTTGTAGATGCTGGAAAAACCAAGAAAACCAATCATGTTCTAATAGTCTGGTTCCCTGACCTCACTTAAGATGAATCAGAGCAATTTATAGACTTTGGGGAATTGTAAGGTCAGAGAATCAGTCTAGCAGGCTTGTACCCCTTCACAGGTCTGTAATCAATTGCAAAGAAAATGCGGAATAACAAATTAGGAAAAATTAGGAGCAGCGTTTTAAAAAAAAGCCATGGCAGTTTTCTCCAACGCTGGTCGGCCGACAGCGTTGGAAAAATACCATTTTTCTTGAAAATGTCAGCACACCAGGAGCCACGATTTTACAGGTTGTTTTATACTGTCATAATTCCCTAACAATCTAGTAAGATTTTTCGTGATAATTTGATCATTTCGTTTTGTGATGTTTGCAAATGTTGTATCTTCCCTTTAACAGATAGAGTTTTGTATTTCAAAATTGATGTATTCATTACTTTGTTAAATCTTTCTATTTTATGTTTGCACGGGTAAAATGTTATTTTTTTTGTGATGGCCAAATGATGGCTTAAATACACCAAATGATTTAAATGCATGATCATATCCTGCCCCCCCCCCCGACTCAGACACAAAATCAGATGCCCGTAATCTTGGCGTGCTGTTTGACCATCACTTGAATTTGGAAAAAAAGAACACGTTTCTAAGGTTTGCCCGATATGATACATGCAGTTAAGAAGAATAGCAAAAAACAACAACTAATGTCTCAGAATGCAGCAAAGCAACTCATTCATGCCTTTGTCGCCTCTAAACTCGACTTTTGCAACAGCTTGCTTACCGGTCTTCCTCACATACATTCTATCGATTGCAATATATACAGGGTGAGTCACAAAAGCGGAAGCCAAACCCCCAAAATTATATTTCATATTTAAACAATTAAAAAAAATATATAGCATCAAATATAATAATGACTGGAAAGCCAATTTCATCAGCTACTTTTAGATAATAAAAAAATTCTGAAATTGCTCATTACGTTCAAAGAATATCACCATTTAAACACAATGACCCTAAAACCTCTTTCGTCCAAAAAAAATGTGATTTCAAGAATCGTCGTCACAATTGTCTTCAAACATCACTAGCGATAAAAACCTCAGTTTTAAAAGTTAAAAATATTCAAGAGAGTCCTTTTGAAGGCCCGTCTTTTAAAAAAAAGTGGATTTTATAAATGATGTTTGCCTAATAAAGATATTGTGTACTACAGTTGTTCACAGTTGTTGAAACAAGTATTCTGTTTCATACTCTTTGTTATTCCTAACAGTCAGAATACACAATAAATTGCTTTTTGGACGAAAGAGGTTTTAGGGTCATTGCGTTGAAATGGTGATATTCTTTGAACGGACTGGGCAATTTCAGTATTTTTTTCATCTAAAAGTAGCTTATAAAATTGGGTTTCCAGTCATTATTATTTTTGGTGCTATATATTTTTTTAAATATGAAATATAATCTTGGGGGTTTGGGTTCCGCTTTTTTTGACTCGCCGTGTAGCACAGAATGCTGCTGCGCACAGGTTCTAAAAGATCAGATCATATCACTCTCAACAAGCTACATTGGTTACCTCCTCACATTCAAGACACTTCATGGCTCTGACCATCTTTATCTAAAGAATATGCTACAATATGGAACTCACTTCCCGATTATCTCAGACAAGAACACTACATTACACACTTTCAGCGACAACTACATACTTGAAAGTATGGGCGTGCATAATAATTGAAAGTTGGACAAAGAAATTGACTGGAGCGGGGTTGAACCTGCGACCTCCGGATTACCGTTCCAGTGCTCTACCAACTGAGCCATCCAGCCCTAGGTTTCTGACTTTCCAATATTTTTTTTTATCGAGGACGCTATCCATCGGCATAAGCGCCCGTACGGTAATCTGAAAGCGCATTAATTGATAATTATTAGAACACGAGACAACTTGTTATATTTCTTTTTAATAATCATCCCTTTACTTTTGTCATGCATTTTCCCCGTTCGATACTGAACACTTTTTCGTGATTTCATCAAAGGAATTATGGTTTGTCTAAGAAAAAATCACGATGCCGCGTTACAACTTTCCAATTTCCTGCACGTTTTTGTTTCGAAACTGTTGCGTCATTTGAGGAATCAAAGTGTGTGTAGGGGCTATACTCCGACTTCAACACAAACGTAGCTTGAATAGACATGAACACCTGTCTGGCTTAGACTCCATCTCAGCTGAGTCTTCAGTGCACTGTCCTTCCACAGGCTCATTATTTCTTTAACAATGGTAGCAAACGCCATAGAGCCGGGAATACGGTGCTGCCTCTAAACCTATACGAGAGTACTCGTCCACTTTGCCAAATGTTAGATATTACACCTCATCCAAATGGTCATATAACACGTCAGTGTGGAACTATACGATGTAGTAGAGCTAATCAAACATTATTAGAATTTAAAAGAAAAATTTATTTTGAAGAAGTCAACGGATAATAAAAGAAAGAGTAAAGACGAAAATGAGGCTCATAAAAGGAAGCGCACATTTTGTTATCGGTTTTACAATATTACGAGAAAACGGGTAGGGCCTAGTTTTCAGGCAGAAAGCACTAAATTTAGGCATGTTTTATTTGATAAGAACTTGTCAGTAAATGTTTTGTATTAGTGCGTTTACTTAAAAAAAAAGAACAAACAATGATGATGTTTGATATTTAGAGTGATGGAAGAATATGTGGGTCATTCGCAACATATTCACCATGATAATGTTACAATCCCGTGCATGATGTGTCTTGACGTAGATGTATCCATGGTAACAGAATCCCCTACATGGTGCAGACTGTGTATACTTCCACGCCAAAAACAAAATGTACGGACACAAGGTGATAAAAAATATATACATATTTTGGAGCGAAAATACGTGTCCCAAACTTAATTTTGTCAATAAATTTTTTTGTTTGACATCGAATTATTTTTTGATATGATTCGTAGTCAGACTGTTAGTCACAGATCATGGGGAGGGCCTTGTCTTTGACACAAGATGGAGCAGAAAGATCTTGGGCAGTGTCCAGTGTGATATATGTAGGCAGGGAATGAACTGGTTGGGTCATGTTGAACGACTTCCCCATTCCAGGCTCGCCAACCAAGGGTAGACCCACTGATCTCTATATAAAGACTGGATAGCTAATAAAGAGCCGCACAATGTACGAATTTGACGCCATATTGGTGAGACCGGCTGGTGATCTACAAAGGACAAGTTGCCGTCTTTATAGACAGCTTGATTTCTTTTGTAACGTCGCGGCTCACTTGACTTATATTTTGGCCACCACCACTGACCAACTGACCAAGGTTTACTACAATTTTTCTAACGTAGTGGTTACTTTTATAATGCCGCAAATCACTTTTTCGGCGTTTTTGAAATAATAATCACTACCGAAATGTTCCTTTTAGAACATCATAATATGTGTACGTGACCAAAATGCGCGTTGATACAACGCGCGCGTATTTACGCGTAGAACGTTCGTATTATACGCGGCCATCTTTGTGAGACCGGGGGCGAATTAGTCGATGCAAAGTCTACTGTGTGAATGTTGTATGCATATCCGCTATCCAGTCTTTATATAGAGATCAGTGCCTATACCTGCTGGTCGACAGGAGCTAGTTCAGTGGAACGACGTGAAGATGCCGACAGCCGATAGGTCCTACTGGAGAGCGTTGACTGACTCATGCGTCGAACGACGCGGGAGCCTCTGATTTAAACTAAAGTAAGGCCATGTCACCTCCATTATGATTCTCAATGGGCCATTGTTTGAAACACGGAATATACAAGAATTAAAATACATTACATAGGAATAATTAACAGGGAAAAAGCAACTAAAATTCAATGAATCCAGACAAAATTTAAGTTAAAGATATCCATCATTAATCCACCCATTTTTTTTTATCAGAAATGTCCATATTGCTTGTACGAAGTATGCCTTTGACATTCACAGGGATGAGATCGTCAATTTAAAATAATCTGAATATTGGATGAAAGGTCTGCAAGATGCATTGCTGTCTATACTGATGTCTTTCTCTCAGATTCAAAAAGTCTGATTTCAGCCAAAAGTTACTTGTAGATTTATTTTTTTAATACTTTTAGATAATTTTTAAAACAATTATTATAACGTTCTATTTTGCGCCACCCCACCCCAACCCACCCCACATTTCTAAAGCAATATTTTTATATGGCTACTCGATTCATCTTAAAGTAACATTCTTTCGATAATGTGAGCCTCAGAAAAAAGATACATTTCAACGGTTCAAGTCGCTACTGATAAGTCTGTTGTATTCATTTATCCCGTTCACCAGTCACGTCACTATAGACCCATGACGATGAAAGTACCGTTGCGTCTACTCATGCGTAGTGCAAAGGAACCAGGCCTGTCCTGCGATATGACGTCGGCCACAAAGGGTCTATAGTCACAGCTACCTTCCCGTTGGTATTCACACCTGCTGTAGCGATGTCAAAAGGACATGTACAATGTACATGTATTATCAGTGGCGAAGCTTCCCCCCCCCCCCCAAAAAAAAGAGTTTTTTAAAGACTACCCATTTTCCAGTCAAGTGACCTTTTTCCGCAAGTGTTTACCCCCCCCCCCCACATACTGTTGAAGAGTGCCCCTTTTTTCTTTTTTAACAAGTGCCCTTTTTTTCAACTGCCCTTTTTACAAAAAAAAAACGAGTGCCTTTTTTTAACTAGCGGCTGTAACGAGTGCCTTTTTGGGAATTTTGCGGTGTGCCTCCCTGAAAAAAATACCATTGTCCGATAATGTGTATGATCACCCGCTTTGACCAGCCCCCCCCCCCCCCCCCCTTTGATTTTATGGAGGCCAAAAGTGTCTAGAGAAAAAACCTGTCGACATTTCAGCACGGATGTGCGAGTGCCCTCATCAAGAATATCCCCCCCCCCCCTCCCCCACCTCCCCCACCAACCAATAAAAATGACCTTGCTACGCCTATGCTATTTCATATAACATGTCATTTGTGTCTCATCTTTATTCTGGGTTGCGAAGTTTTTATTCGGGTAGTTGACTTTACTTTCGATCAGTATAATTTACATGTATTTAAAACAAGAGTGAAACAATTAAAATTTTAATTACATGTGTATTTTTCCTTAATACTGGAAAATAAAACACAGTACCTACAAATTAGAGTCATTACAACGCTACCGTATCAATTCACACAAACCTACACCTTCCTAGTATAAAACAAGACATTCCCTCGCCATTCTATGGTTTGTGTATCCCACATTCTCCCTATCTCGATCACATCGTCACAGGCTCTGCCATTTCTCTTTGAAATAAATCAGCCCACTCAATGAGAATGTTGAGTTCTCTGGATTAGTACAGTTTAATCAACTCCTATCAATAACTTCACCGATGAGATGTGGCACATGGACGCATATCCTCATATTTTTTCATTATATATTTTCATCCTTTGCTGTGACAAGCTAGTCTATGTAATAGACCTATATATGAGCAGATTCGCTGATTAATTATGCAAGACAACCACATCTTGACCTCTAGATTTTGACCAATCAGGGGGCGCTTTCTATATCGGGTCTTCGGTCATTCACCCATTGTCGCGTCATAGACATGATAAAAAAAACCTAGACACACCAACAAAGGCTGTGGTCACAGGCTCTGTATTATGTTAAGCGACACGCGCCCAGCTGTTGTTGTATTACAAAACACTGCAATCGAATTGACCAATCAAACGTTTAGTCCTGATTTGGGAATGAACTGACGTCATGATTTAGTAAAGTCGACTCCGATTGGCTGAGGCAAGAGATCCCATAAATCTGCATGCTTTGATATATCAGACGTTATACAGGAGTTTGGGCTCCGCGGATAACGGGTGATACTCAGACAAGTGACAAGCAGGCAAACAAGGCGATTGTCTGTGGAAAAATTCCCTTCCTTTAAAAATGTTGATCTTATATTAATGTCACAGTACATACATTCAGTCGCGTAACTGCAATACATGTACTACAAAAATGCGCTCCGCCCAATGGTAGCTGGACCAATCACAGCCTTGCTTAATGTCTGACATGCGTGCACGCACCCATATTGGATCGATCGGTCTATTCCATCACAGAAAACCCTCGAGTAATGCTCATAATAAGCCAATAATGAAATTATAAGCCTTACCCATATTCCTCCCATAGCAGCATGATCAATAACAGCATTGTTTCCCTGTTAATGTTGAAGAAGATGCGTAAAACGAAAACAATATATACGAATCCTGCATGATATATTGCAATAACCCTGATTTCAAATAACACCCCCAAACCCAAGAATGAGATCAATATGTTACATGTAATGTATAGGATGATATAATAAACTGTTGTAAGATTTACACTGGTCTGCTGGATTAAGTAATGCGGACCACTGAGGGAAGGGAACCCAAGTAGCGTTCACTGCAGGAGAGAGGTACAAAGTCATGATGGAAATAAAAAATACTATAAAGATAGCATTAACAAACTCTCTTATTTGCAAAATGAAGGACAAACTTGGCAGGAAGATATTCTCAGTCCCATTCAAGGCTAACAATCATTGGAATTGGAAAGCATAAAAAGTATGAATTATGCTCCAATTCAATAAGATGTACAACAGTAAACAACATGAGTTGTTTTTGTTTTCTATTTAGTTTTTCACAAAAGACCGATGCAATAGGCCTCACCCAATGAAGTTTGGACCAATCAAATCAGTGACTGCATGTATGCATTATGCATGCAGACGAAGCACTTAGGGTGACATGGGTGAGATGCACATGGGCAGGGCTTATGGCTCAATCTGGAATGCTCCATGTCGCGAGTGTAAAGATAACACATGTACAATAAAGCATCAACCTCAATTTCATGACATCACAATGACCATATTGTAACTGTTACTTTAAACTGAGTGGCAGGACAGTTAGCAAAGTAATATTGTGCATGCAATTACAAAATGTAGTTCGCAGGCATGGGCTTAAATGCCACTCGAAATTGGACATCACAAAATTAGGTCTATACATTACATTATATTCTACATCCTCACCCAGATAAAGCCTTTGTACATGTACAATGTATTTAGCTTAGATAACAAGAAGTCATAAAAGAACAAATAATGGGACTATTTTGTAAGTTTGCAGTTGACATGCAACACGTTCCTGTCTTGACTGTCATGTTCATACACACTCACAGTCAATCACATGTAATACACATATTCGGTCGAAAACTCTGACCATCAAAATGCCATTAACTTGATTTCTGAACATCATGCCATTTTATTCTTCATAAGGAATCCTTGTGGGGGTCTTAATCACTAGTATCTTGTACGTAGATCATTTCTTTCTGTGCTAGTCCAAAGCTTTGTATTGTGATGTCATCATCAGGATCTGGTGTAGCCTGGCAGGGTAATACACGACGTGGGTAGTTGGTCTGTAGCCTGAATTCACTGGGTGCATCGTCTTGTATGAATACAAAATCATACACAACCTGATGGCAGAATCAAAATTACATCAAAATTACATCATTACCAACTCTGACATCAGTGTTAAACTTTGTTGAGATGTTACTGACCCAACTACAAATAGATATTCACCATAGTCGGTTTTATTTATCAGAAATATTGGAGAAGAGCCAGATGTCAAGTGACATGCAGAAAAGGGGCCAGTAAGCCATCAACATGTTTGCAGTGTTTTCTAGTTGTTTATACATTTGTGCATTAATTAACAGCCAAATACTTGATCTGCAAAATAATGAATCAGCATGCAGGCTTCAGCTTTTTTATAAAACGTCAGAGTGTCTTTCTTTATTTTCAATATAAATTTTATTTTAGTTTCAAGTTAAAGTGGGCAGAAGTAGTCCATTTGTGTGATAGCGAATTTCACGTTTCAGTAAAAACAGACACTTTTTTTTCTATTTGTGACTGTAAATTGAATAAAATTGCTCAACAACAGTATAGCTATTCATAAGATGAAATTGGGTTGGGTCCCGAGTGAAAGTTGGAAAAAATCACTTGGGTGGGACTCGAACTCACGACCTCCTGCTTTCTAGTGCAGACGTCTTACCACTCGACCACCGAGCTTGCGAGATAAGTTGGTTGGGTATAGCTGTCATGCTTATTCATATTGCAGACACTTTTATGGGATTTTCATTTACTGCCATAATTAATCATCAGAAAAGACTATTAAAATTGATTGGCCTCTTTACAGCGGTTACTGTCTTAAAGTTACAGGCATGTTTTCCATCTCAGATTTGTCCATGAGTATTGATAAACAAACAGCAGATGAACTACCTGCAGAGGATCAGTCTTGAGAAAGCATCGTTCTAGTCTGGTCCCACAGGGAAGCTTGACAACCACATGGATGGCATTAGGGTCTTGAGGATCTGGCTCCGATGGAAGACTTGATGCTTTGGCTTGCTTTAATTCCTCCCTCTCCTAGAAATCATCAAAGGAAAGCAAACTTGTCACTAGGATCAACATTATTACTTCTGGCAATGACGAGTATTCATGTTCCTTATAATCAGCATCCTGGGTGTTTCAGCTTGCACATTCTAAGAGACTTTATAATTTGTTGTCCCATCTGGTCTGCTTTAATCAACACAGTAGGTATAGATCCAGTATTCTAGATAATTGTGAGCATATAGAGGCCGTCCTTCATTAATGAATGATACATTGAAATTAACAGGTGTCAAAATATACTAAAATTTTTGGTTTTTCTCAAAATAGAATTTTTTTATTCTATTATGGTAAAGTCTTATAGACTCAAAACAAAGTAATACAATGACATGAGAAAGCAATTGTTATACCATGGCATAAGGAATCAATTGTTATACCATGGTAAAAGGAATCAATTGTTATACCATGGTATAGGGAATCAATTGTTATACCATGGTATAAGGAATCAATTGTTATACCATGGTATAAGGAATCAATTGTTATACCATGGTAAAAGGAATCAATTGTTATACCATGGTAAAAGGAATCAATTGTTATACCATGGTAAAAGGAATCAATTGTTATACCATGGTATAAGGAATCAATTGTTATACCATGGTATAAGGAATCAATTGTTATACCATGGTAAAAGGAATCAATTGTTTTACCATGGTATAAGGAATCAATTGTTATACCATGGTATAGGGAATCAATTGTTATACCATGGTATAAGGAATCAATTGTTATACCATGGTATAGGGAATCAATTGTTATACCATGGTATAGGGAATCAATTGTTATACCATGGTATAAGGAATCAATTGTTATACCATGGTATAAGGAATCAATTGTTATACCATGGTATAAGGAATCGATTGTTATACCATGGTAAAAGGAATCAATTGTTTTACCATGGTATAAGGAATCAATTGTTATACCATGGTATAGGGAATCAATTGTTATACCATGGTATAGGGAATCAATTGTTATACCATGGTATAGGGAATCAATTGTTATACCATGGTATAGGGAATCAATTGTTATACCATGGTATAGGGAATCAATTGTTATACCATGGTATAGGGAATCAATTGTTATACCATGGTTTAAACAAATCAATTGTTATACCATGGTAAAAGGAATCAATTGTTTTACCATGGTATAAGGAATCAATTGTTATACCGTGGTATAGGGAATCAATTGTTATACCATGGTACAAGGAATCAATTGTTATACCATGGTACAAGGAATCAATTGTTTAACAAGGAATCAATTGTTATACCATTGTATAAGATTGGGAAATTCTCATAGACTTTTGAATTTTCAAACAACCCATGGATGTGTAACGAAGATGCGCACACCAATAACGTGCAGGGGTGGCAAGAAAAACAAATTGTTTTTACAAATGATAAATTATTTAGTTATCCTATAATTACTTTTTAAGACTCACAACCGCTATCAAATATAGTTGAAAGTAATATATTAAACATAAAACTACCATTGTACAATAAAACAATTGCTTGTTTAGCAATACACTTGTTGGTTTTGAAAAACCTGAATGGATACAGCACTCTTGGTTTTGCCTGGGGTGCCATTTACACCCCTCAGTCCTACAAAAAGCCACGAAGTTTACATCACAGTAAACAACAACAGTATGTCTATTGGGATATGTTACATCATGCCTTTGATACTATAATTTCATTGATTTAGAACGGCCACATGTCCAGTCCATAAAAATAAACGTTCACTTCAAATACACTGCGTTGTATAACAATTACCTCATATACACTGCAGCGCATATAATTGACCTCATATAAAGTACATCTGCATTGCACGCGCATGTAGGGACAGCAATTATTCAGTCTCATGTCCCGCAGGAAATCTCACAGTCCAAAGGTTACAACGCAGTGATTAAATTTATTTCTTGCAAGTAAGTTACAAGCATTTATCTTTTTGACTTATTGGCATGACATTACAAAACAATTGTTGACTGCTGTGACGTGGGATATGGCATTGGCAACCCCCTTGCTTCACTTCCGGGGGGTTGGGGGGGGAGGGGGTTGGCGCTATGTGCCGCTCGGCTGTCAAAAATATCCACGTCACAGCATTCAACAATTGTTCAATGATCCATTGTTTTCTATGGCGTACCGAAGTGTGACATCATTTAGAACCAGTAAGTGTAGTGCAAACGAATGGAGTACACGAGCGTGTTGGTTCACGGGCTGAATCACGCGCTAATGTCTTTTAGTCCGTGGGACAAGGCCTTATTTTCGCTCGCCACACGGTCTGGTTCACCGAATTTTATAAAACTTCACAGACATGTAGATTATGGTGTACCATATCGAAAAAACTTTCTTCCCCGATCCACAGTTTGTTTGGGAATGAGAAAATCTGGGATAAAAACGCTGAAAATTCTACATGAGAAAAAACATAAGAAACAGCGCCCCCTATTGACACAGTCAGAAACCTTTTTCTCACGCAATGGCCGTCCAACTCCGAGTTCGGGCGGTCTGACGCGAGTATCTATTATTGATCTCACGCTCGAACGGCGGGAACACGACCCACGAACACTGCACTCGGAACAGGATCTCACACCATGCACCGTACATATCCGTCGTTGTTTGCAAGAATGATATACCCGGTCCCGTGTCAAGAACAATTAAAACCCGCCCAAACTCGGCCAATGAGTTCTTCTTCCTATATATAGTCTAGATGACACTTCTTTCCTATTGTATTCTACATTTTTTTTATTTCTCATCGGAATGCAAAAATATTACCTTTAAATACAGTTTTGTCCAACATGAAATGATCACGTTATAAATTTAAGATCGAATGTTAACATTGTTATGTATTTAGCTAAACATCGATTTGATGGTTAAACCACAGATCAGAATAATATTTTGTGAACTCTTATCTCAGGGTAACATGTTTTCAAAAATAATAATTATAAGTGCGTGGCATCTGGTGGAGCATCTGAACTTCTGAAACATCTTTTAAAAAATGTTATGCCTGAAATTTAAAATAGTAATACAAGTTTGATGCAGCCTCCAAAAAGGAAGCGGGTGGGCCGTTGGGTTATTTGTTGTTTCACGGAATGGACGGAGCAACAACAACAAAATAATGAATCGGTTCTTAAAACAATATTCAGAATAATAAACACGGTAAAACGGTTTCGGCTGAAATAAATTGCAGTTGTAATGCTGCCACTCACAGCTTCCAAATAATAGAGGAATATAAATTTATTTTCTCTTCTTAAAAAAAGTTGCAAACAATTTGATGTGACTTTTGATATGTTATACAACAATTATCTAATCGGCCTGTAATGTATACATGTGCTCATTTAGCTCGTTTGGTTATTATAAACGAGTAATGCTAATTCAGTACAGATTAAACAAACTTATGTAATCTAAACACCATTCTTCTTGTGTGGGTAACAACAGTACTGCACACGTTTAAATCCCCCCCCCCCCCCAAAAAAGAATAAATAAATAAATGAATTAAATTAGATTATTTAGGTTTTCCCTGCTATTTAATAACGATTATCATTTGAATTCACTGTTTCTAATATTCATATTCGTTCATCAACATCGATTTAGTGCACTTCCAACGTTTAATTTCGTCTTTTGTGTAACAATTAAAAATTCAATTCAACATATTCAAAAAAGAAGTATATGTTTTCGTACGGGTATCGATTTCGTCTAGTCTACGCCAAACCTTGTTAGTCAGAAATTAAATTCATCTAATTGATTTATATACAACGAATTCGATTTCTGAATGCTGCCATTCGGCAACAGCTTAGACGTATTTGATCTGTAATGATCTTATATGGAACTTGAAAGATGTACCAGTATTATCTGGCAAGCGCTCATTGCGTGTGAAAAGGTTTCTGACTGTGTCAATAGAGGGCGCTGTTTCTTATTTTTTTCTCATACAAAATTGTTGGTATTTGTATCCCAGATTTTCTCATTCCCAAACAAACTGTGGATCGGGGAACAAAGGTTTTTCGATATGGTACATCATAATCTACATGTCTGGAAAGTTTCATAAAATTTGGCGGACCAGATCGCGTATCTCGAAAACTAAAGCGTTTTCGGCCTCTCGTCCCACGGACTATTTCACACACATTTTGTGGGCGTGACGTATTCACTTCAGTACTCCATACACTCAAAGGTAAATGCCATTTACTTCTCTCTCATTACACAAATTGCCAACGTTATATCACAGCAAGCAATCGCTAACAATAGCTTCCTAGCAGTAATTGGAAGGCATGTTTGTCTAACCTGAACTTGTCTCTGTTCCTCCATCTCTCTCTCTAGTTGCTCCTCTACCTGTCTCTGTTTCCTGTCCTTCTCTTCTTGCCGACGGCGTTCCTGATCATACATCACAACAAAACAAGTTCAAACTGCCTGATCATAATAAGAAATTGACAGGTTATATCAGGCAATGTCAGAACTTCTCTGAACTTTCCTGATTTTTTAGTTACATTTTGGAGGTTTATATTTAAATGCTTTAAGGTTTGTTCTAATGTACAAGCTGTGTTGTTCGCAACTTCGTCTTCTGTTATGCAAATTTATTTACAGACAAGTTATCTCACACAGAATTTCATCTTGTGATACTGCATCACACCTTTTTCGTATCGCGATTATCAAGTATCATGATTACCACTACACCTCTACAAGAAATCTGTCAAAATGCCTGTTTACACGTCATGCAGGTATCTTATGCCACTGAAATCAGCCACTTTAATTATGCCACAAGTCACAGACTCTTTCCTACATAATACCCCCATACCAGTCACATACCTTTTCTCTGTCTTGTCTGAGAGACTCATGATAAGCTTCATCTTGCTGTTGTCTCAGGGTATTAGTTTGTACTCTCTGCTGTCGTTCATGTCTGATACTGACTAGATAAGCCTCAGTCTCTGCCATGACTCGTGTCAAGCGGGCTATCAGATCCTGGGGCTCAATTGCTCCTTCTATTCTCTGCACAACAGTCATTTTATTCTCCCTCAGTACAATCAGGGCAAGGAAAGGGTACGTGGCTTCTCTTAGAGCGTGAGACACTGTTGGCAAAGATCAAACATATCAATATCAATCATTTTCATAGCTCCTTTGAGTTTACAAGGTGTTGAAGTTAGCAAACTACTTGTTGCATGCTATAGAGAGAATTCACAAAAGAACGAATAGGGTTAGTGCCAAATAGGTCATGAGTTTGTGTGGTCTTATAACATCTTGCTGTTTGCTACGAGGGTAGATGGCACAGATATCGCATGTTACGCGTCAGTGTGAAACATAAATGATGAATTTTCACCCTCTTTTCTGATAAGTTACTCAATCATGTATGATTTGATTGAAAGAGGATGAATTGCTGAACATGTTAAGGATATGACGTTTACAAGTTTAAACAGGAAACAAAATGAACTCAATTTACAAATTTTCTCAAACGTTTAAATGGAACTCAAATTTCAGAAATGGGACCTTGTATTTACGCACTGTACCCTCCAGTTTTATTTTAAAAGAATCCACAATGTTTGTAAATTTATTTAATTTGCAAAGCATTAGAAACGCCTTTAGTATTTGATCACATTCCAAGAAGTTTAATTGATACTTTCTCTCAATGACCGGCAACTATCTACATTTTGTACAATTGTTTGCGTTTGATGTTTTCAATACGCCATTGGGCCAAGATCAATGCTTGGATAGATCGAACACCGGCATGGACGGCGTCTCTCTAAGTGCTATTCTGATTAAAAAACTGAGTTTTCAAACAATTCTGGGTCTGTCCTTTTTCTATATTTTTCTCTTGAACTTTTTCTCTTGAACTTTGAATTTGCAGAAATCATCACTTGGTGTGTTGTGCAGTAATCAAACCATTGGCTAGCACTTTCATAATGACTTGAAAACCGGCGAGGACAAATAAAAACAGCCTACCTCCCGGGAGCTAAAGCGTAATTTAAAATGATATATGTTGATGCATTTGGGGGTGATTGTTTTTCCCCGGGGCTGCACCTTTACAATGGTAAAAAAAAACATGTGCTGCTTCCAGAACAAGGAAAACAATGACCCAGAATATTTGGTGTTGGCGAGGGTAAAATATAAAATAGTCTTTAGATCTTAGGGCGGGGGCCGCGGGGCATTGACATACATGTATACAGGTGCTATATGTACTACAGGAACTTCCACCATTTGCGGATGTAAACCTTTTAATTTGTTTTTGAAGAGTGTTTTTTAGTCTTGTCAGGTTACTTTTTCCCCAAGGGTGGTGCAGTCGTCAAAAAAGCCCTTGCCGTGTTAAATTTGGTCTAGTGCCATTTTACAATAGTTATCAATTCACAACATTTTCGATATGTTATAATTGTACTGCGTTTGTTTGTTTTTTTCAAATACCCATTTATTGCCCTTGATTGGATGGGCCCAGTCAGGACACAAAATAAATGCAAAAAATAGGACGCTACACATGTTGTGGATCCTATACACCGCACATTGTGCCCGGATGTGCTGTCAAATCTTGCAGGTTTCTGAGGTCAACTTACATGCTCTATTGCTACAGTGCACCAGGTACCTGCCAGTAGACGCAAAATAATAGCTTGTTCTTAGCACTATACATCTGAGAACAAGCACACGCCCATCATGTACCCAGCACATAGAGCTTTGTCTAGTGATCACACAGCATCATTTACTGCTCATGCACAGAATTCATTTAACATACCTCTGTATCCCTCTGGGGTATTAGTGGATGCAGCCCAGAATAGCATTCTAGTGTTGATAAACTCAGTCACTTCATTATTGCATAGCGTCTCTCTACAATGTGAGTAAAACACACAACAATCAATGCATGATCCTGTACATGTACGAGCTGGCTCATATGTCAGGCGTTCTGGCAAAATAAGACAGAACTGGGCAGGGGTCGAAACAAGGATTTGTGAGTATTAGGAACTTAGAGAATAAAATTTTCCCTACAGTACTGTTTGTTGCACTTCAATTGGATATTTGACAACTTATGGCTGTTTATAAAGTTTGCATTTATCGACATGTCAAAAAAAGGGGAATACTTAGAAAAGGGCCTTGAAAGTTCCAAGTTTTGTATTCGTGAAAATGAAAGATGCCAATTGTTTTTCCTTGAAAACTCATTTATTCAACTATTTGTATACCATGATGGATATGGGGAATGATGATGATGATGATGATGTAGTAGACTTTTCAAAGATTGCAAATACCAAAAAATCTGAAAATTGAAGAAAAAAAAAATCACCCCCATTTGGTTTTCTGCATTTTTCTCCACTACTGCCTGTGCCTAGTTCCATCTGATTCTGCCAGAATGCCTCACATATGTGCGCATGATCAATCACAAATTCTGTGGACATAACCATTTAGTACATCTCTGTGGCGCCTGTTACCTGAGTCATATTTTCCTACATCTTACATGAACATTGTACATATGTTGCTTCAAGAGCAACTGCCACATTATATCTGCGAATACAGGAAACCTTCTGTTCAACCTCTTATGTGTAAGTACAGTGTATGTTTTTGAATGTGGTACTCATTTATTTATTAATTAATACTTTTTCTTGGACAGGCCACTAGCTGATCATCAACAGCCTGGATACATCATGTTTCCACTCACCTACAGAATACAGGTGTATCTTCATGGTTATCTCCATGCAAGTACACCAGAAGGAACTTCAATTCTCCCTTAGCATCAGTCAAAGCCTATAATCACAACACACAAGACACAAGCTCATCAATACGTAGTGGTCCCTTTACTAAAAATCAGATGTACCTGAACATATTTCTGTGCTTGTACTCAAACATCAAACATGCAGCTTAGGAAAAGGCCAATTATGTGCAATAGTGGCAGTGTAGGAAGACTTTCAAGAAAATGAGCAATAATACATCCATAAATAAGTGAAAATATGGAAAAATTGCAGGACGATAAATAATCAATAGGAAAAGGAGGAAGCAAAGACTGTCACTTTTTGAACTTAAGTCTTTCGTTGAGACCACACATGATGGATGTCATCGGGTAACAGACATAATTGTCATCAATCAACAACTTGGAAAATCACAAGTAGGGTAATTAATGAGACACATTCTGCTACAGAACATACCAGTCAAAGAAAACCTGTCAAAAATCTTGTTGAACTGATTACCTCTAAGTAGTTCATTGCGTTGACAGTACTGTATGTACACAATGCTTGTATTTACCTGAGTGTAAGTTCCTTGATAGAAGGTAGGATGGTCACGTCCATACTGCTCATTAAACTTGTCTATAAATGCAAGCACATCCCCAACAGGATCTGTGACTATTCGTCTTGGATCAGGCCGAAAGAATCGAAGTACCCACTGCAGTATATCCCAGAGCGTGAAGGTTACAAAGCGAAATGGGAAGAGTATGGCCCAGTAGCCCCACTGGAGTAGAGAGGGACGTTGATGAGCTCGCTGTACTGTGTAAATCCTGAGAGACAATCACAAAGGTATTAACTATATCATTAGCAAACAGACAAGTGAGCTTAACCCTAACAACCCTGAGCCCATCAAGCTCCAACAGCGGGTTTTGCTTGATTTTGGCAGGGTTGGTACCGAACACTGGCAAGTTGGTGTTGGACTTTGATTGACTGGGTACCAAAGGCCCAGGGAGACCCTGTTGAATTTTGTGAGGTTTGGGGCAGAAGGGCATGAGATTTGTGAACACGTTGGAGTTCACTGGCATTTCTTCGTGGGTATGCTCACCCACGGTCCTCAGCACAGCTTGTGGTCAAATGTGCATGTACATATTGCTTTATTTTGTTGGGTTTGGTACCATCCCTATCCAATCACTCGACAATGCATAGGCCCATCCATACCAAGTCAATCATACTCCAACAGTTGGAGTTTGGCAGGTTTAGTACTGTTCCCCGTACAAGGCCTGTTGGAGTTTGGCAGTTTTGGTACCAGTGCTTACAGACCTGTATGCAGCTGTTGAAATTTGTTAGGTTTGGTATACTTTCTAGTGCAAGAGCCTAGGGGGTTAGGGTTAAAGAGGTAAGAGTGCTATCTGTATCGTTGTTGCCATTTAAAGACAACTTGGTCAGTCATGCAAGTAATTTCCAATCACAAACAAGGTTTCACAAATAAATGTATTTCCTGGTTAAAGGTAGAGTCCATCATTTGCAGCCATTCGAAAAGTAACTGGCGTAATTATTGTTGAAAAACTAACTTGGTTGAAAGATAGTAAGGAGACTAAACTCCCTGTGAAATTATTCTTTCTGGGAAGCTGTCATTTTGAAGTAATCAACGAAAGAAGGCATTTCCAACGGTGATTCTTAAGAAGCACCGTAGGAAAATTTAAATTAGTAGTTCGTTTTGTTATTCAGCGCAGCGCGCACAAGTATTCGAACGACGCACACGCGCGCGCGGTTGTTATAATTCGTCGGATCAGTGCGCGACGTCGCGTATAGTTGCAATTCAAAACAATTCAAAACATGATTCAGTAACTTTTGATTTGAAATTGAGATCTTAGAATGCTGTTTTTCTCGGAATGAACAGCTGAAGCTTAGCTGAAACTTCATCAGGTTAGTTGCTCAGTATCCTTCATTAGATTTTGAACTCTTTTGTTGCTTCAAACGAACAAAATGCACAAATTACAAATGATGGACTCTACCTTTAACTCCTGAGGCAACTGTGCTAACTTTCCCAACTCCTTCACCATATGCCATTTGCACACGTCTCTCTGTTTAAATTCCTGGGTGCATCAAACTCCATGTAAAATGTTTCCTAAATGTCAAATGCATTCTAAATCCCGATGGATTTTGATGGAATTGGTCCAGTTCCTAGTAAAAGACGCTAGGGAGTTAGGGTTAAAATTGGACAATGGTCTTATTGCACCTAAGCATTGTGGAATTAACACAGTCATAGAAATCAGCTGTGGGACACAGTGGTCAGGCAAAACAAGTGAAAACGGATCCAATTTATTTGAGAGTATCCTCATATTTAACCAAACCAATGGTGTGTTCTGACCTAGTTCTGACCTATATTTACAAGAACAATACCCAGTGTCCCTGTCTGTACATTTTATCTGGGAAATTATCTATGAGCTGTGCAGCCTTGACTACAAAACAAGTACATGTATGGATTGTCAGATACGACCACTGAGGATATAGATGACAAACCTTTGGTCACTGGAGTGAGTATTGACCTCTGGGGGTGGGGGTTCAATTCTGCTGCTTGGTGTATCAAACACAGTAGGTCTGCCTTCAGATACGTTCAATGTGTCCTGTACAGCAGTCTGATGGGGAAAAAAAAACCAGTCACACATCTTGGAATCACTCTACCCAGGCTGCTGCTCTCACACTACATGTTTCTTGGCCACAGGCATTTCATCACATTAAACCCAGGTATTAGCATTTCAGAAGCTTTTGTATGAGGACCTGATGAACCCATTGGTTGTGTACACCCTCAGGGCCAATGACACCCTTAGCTTTGCCTGGGTGCCATTTGAACCCCTTGGGAATTCATACAAAATGCCATGGACAACATCACAGCAGAAGCGACTGTATAATGTACATACACATATATAAAGCCACTGCTTTTAAAATCAATGATAATTTCAGTCATACCTCAATGTTCCAATTGTGTCTTTGTAAGATGGAGCGGCATTCATCAGTGTCTTCATTACCTGTCAGATCCTGAACAATGTCAAAGACACTATATGTTACACACAGTAGTAATAGTAGGTAGTGGTCAGCACATTTGCTAATATTGTGCGGCGTTCTGGCAAAATGAGACAGAACTGGGCAGAGGCCGTAATGAGGGTTTGCGGGTATTAGGAAAGAAAATAAAATTCTACTTACTATACTGTTGCACTTCAATTGGACATTCCCCTGAAAAGTAATGGCTGTTTAACCCTAACCCTGCTAAATCCAACAGGATCCAACTATTTTACATTCCCGTTGGGTCCTGTTGGATTGAGCAGTAAGCCCCTTGTATCTTTTCCTGTTGCCATCTGTTGGATTCAGCAGGCAACTGAAAACATTAAGGATCGGATTCTGTTGGGTTCTGATAGTAACGCCAAGTTGGACCATATACATCGCGTACACTACACGTGTGCAGCCCGATTTCGAAAATCATATGACGCTTGCACAGCAATGTTGTAGTACTCGTACTCGGTACTCGTACTCTACTACTCAAGTACTTTTGTTAGAGTACTCGTATTCGTACTCGTACTCGAAATGACGAAATTGTACTCGATCATCAAGGTTCTTGTACTCGAATAGCAGTACTCGGAAAAATATGGTATAGCTTGACTTGCCACGGCCTTATTTTATCGATACTTTCAGTTTGAAATGATTGATTGGCTTGCAGAGAAATCGAAGTTTTGTGACGTTCCTCTGCACACATCCTGAGAAACACAATTAACAGCTAGCCGTGAGTGGGTCTGTATATCGGTCTGACTGGGCCTGGGCAAATAACGCAGAATGACCCATTTGCTGTATGTGGGCACAATGACCAATCATGTAGGTGAAACGCTAAGGTGTTCCTCAAAATAGTCGTTGGATTAACTTGGGTGATTGGAGAAAGGCCGTTTTCCGAACCCCGGTTTTGGCTCCCTATCCGGTTTGGAAAACGGCCCCTAGTCTGGTTCCGGCATCAGGCCTACAGATATAAACACAGGCCTAGGATCAGGGAAGCAGATTATATGCATAGTACACATATTACCACGAATCTGCCACGCTGAACGTTGTACCGTCCATGTTCGCTTGTCAAAAATTGTCAGCCTGTGAAGAATTTGTAACACTTTTGTGCCCAAGTTGTAGTTTGTTTGTGACGAAAATCACGAATGTCGTCTGTATACAAGTACTCGTACTCCTACTCATACTCGGAAGTACAGGTACTCAAGCTACAATGTAGGTCATGACACTCTAGCCCCATAAATGTGGCCAATTTACTGGACTACCTCTGTAAATAAAGACCACACTTTGGAACATGCACCCGAAAATGTAGAAAACTTTGTCAAGTTTTGATTTTCATATTTAGACTTTGTTTGTTCATGTAGTTTACTTATGCTTTAGAAGCACACTCACCCTCTTATAGCGATAGAAAGAAGTTCGGCATTTTTCAGACATGTATTTGTTTGTGTAATTTCGTGTAATTTCGTTCTTATTTCTACGCTATTTCTAGAAATGACGTACTTTCACTGGGATCGTATCCTTTGATGCATGAACTTTAACCAGCAGGCGAAAAAATGTGGAAAGGCTTTACCGGGAATTAAGGAAAAAAGTGAAGAAAAAAAATCTGCTTTTTACAGCTAATTGTTAACTACAAATGTAGGCGGATGCTTCTGGGCCAGCAGAAGTTGAAAACATGACCATACAGTGACCTTTTTTGATGTCCCACTGCCATAGATAATACTTTGCAGTTTCTACAGGGGTGTAAAATTTAAGGTGCAACCAAAAAGACACGTTTCTCATATTATTTTTTGTTGTTGTTGTAACTATTACAATCTGACATCTTGACAGTTGTCTCTGTTGATTGGGATGATCAAAATAACAATATAAAAGTGGGATCTATGTTAAATAGGTTCTTGTTCTTCCTTACAAGTGCAGACTTCATGGCTGAAGATAGTCGCACTGCCAGAAACACCGGGGCGAACCCCTTCTCTTAGCGATAAGTGTACTGGGTTCTTTGCATTATAGAACACACGGGACCTACGGCTTTACGTCCCATCCAAAGGACGAAGCAATAATGGTTAAGTGCCTTGCTTAAGGGCACAAGTGTCCGCACGGGCTCGACCCCCACGCCACTTTTGCCTCTGAAACACCAGAGCATGAGTCCGGTGTTCTTAACCACTAGGCCATGACACTCCACTCCAGGTAAATATGAATAAAATGTATTAATGTAAATATGTAATTATAGGCCTTTGTATAAATTAACAATTACATTGTGTAGACCTATCAACCATTATGTTGAAATTAATCTTGAAATTATGAAAAGTGTATTGGCATTTGAAAAAAAAGAAATGAAAAAGAAACAAAATGTTTGAAAAGCTCAAGGAAATATGTTTTCCTGAAACCAAGGAGTCTAACTCATTTATAAAAAAAAATGTTAATGAGTTACATGGCCCGGACACGACAGCAATGATTTTCCATGAAGCGTTCACCGCGCGCGCGCATTGGGCAGAGATTTTTCTACAACTCCAAAAATGCACACTTTGGAATTCCCCACTTGTCGCCACAAATAAAGAGATTTCGTTTTGTTAATCGGTACGCTGGAGAATCATAAGCCAACAATAAGTTTTGTTGAGGAAAAGAGTGGTTGCTTTGCTATTTTAAGCAGTACTTGGTTGTCAAGCCTTGGAAAGATTCCCATATCTGGCCATCACTAATTTTTCCCTTCAGTGACCTAGTATCAGCCATTAATTGTCAGCCATCAAAAAGTGATAAGGCCAACAAAAAAAAAAGGTTTCTGATATGGAGCTTGCCCAAAAAGTGGTGCGGCGACGCGGCTTTTTTTTTACCTGATTTTTTTGCTTCAAATGTCGGCTGATGACTGCAAATGGTGCCCGACTAAACTTAGTGCAAATATATGGGAGTCCAGAGAGGCCACATAAAGCTTATTCTCGACCATAACCCCATCTAAAAACACGTTAAAATTGTGCAGCAGCAGGATTCCAGTCAAACCAGTGAGTTTGGCGGTTTTAAGACATCATCTTTCATTGAAAAAAATACTTTTTCATTTTGCCGACGCGCATGGCTACGGCGACGCGCGCACATACCAGAAACCGGAGACTTTTTTTTGTTGGCCTAATAGGCTATGTCCTTAAAAGTCAAAATCAGGAGGGAAAATAATAAAGTATTTACTGAGAAAACACGTAGAAATTTTCTGACCAGTCTCATACTTAGTCATAGGATTTGTGCACAGGGTGACAAGTGATGGCCAGATATGGGAATCTTTCCAAGCCTTATCTGCGCAGAAATAGGAGGATCCAGGAAATGCAAACGTGTGCAAAACAAACATGACAAACCTGGTCCTGATCCTGGGAATGACACAAAAAATAGGCGTCTGAAAAATGCCGAACTTCTTTTCTAAATTTCTGTCGATATAGGACTCTTAAGAGGGTGAGTGTGCTTCTAAAGCATAAATAAACTATAAACAAAGTCTGAATATGAAAATCAAAACTAAAGTTCTACATGTTCGGGTACATGTTCCAAGTGTAGCTTTTATTTACGGAGGTCATGGAGGTCATGGAGGTAGAGGCTTAGTCCAGGAAATTGGCCACAAATTAAGGGGCTAATAAGTAATATGACACTCAATCAAAAAAGTATTTTCTGTAACTGTAAGCAACGACGATTATTTTGTTAATAAGAAATATGCATGTTTATTCTATGATTTCTCCAGACGAAAATTACCTGAAACTGGATGAGTTTTTCAGTCTGCTCTGTGGTAATTTCTGCATCTGACGCGTTTGGATCTTCCTGGTTGTTTCCATTGTACTCCGCCATTTTGTTGAACGTCCGTACGTACGTACCATTGATCTCCGTCTGTGTATATGGAGATCAATGGTACGTACGTACATTGTGCGTACGGTACGGTGCGTACCAGTACAAAATTTCGCTGCAGGGCTGCCGTAGCGTACTGCATGCACTGCGCCAGCCGTGTGATGCAAGCGCTACGGAAGTGAATGTCTTGAAGTGCGCCCTCTTTCAATTGACAATTATTTTGCAAGGTAAAAATCATCACCTTGCCTTAAAGACCTTTTGAAGCCATAATATTAGAGGGCAATGCCTTTGTTTCGCTGGGATATGCACGAATGAACCTTTTTTGCATTCATTGTTGCTGAATTCAAATAGCAAAAGCTGCCCTCTAAGATTGTCGCTACGCATAAGGATCATATGTAAGCCCTAAACTCATGTGCAAAATACCGTTCCTTGGAACCGTTTATCCTTTTAAAGACAAAGTAAATAATTGCTAGGTAAGTTTACCTCAAGGAATGCAAATATTCTCAAGTCTAAGGAATTTATAGCACTAATAAGAATTAGACCCCTATGTCGTCTCTCCTCAGGTCGCGTGTGGGCCTACTGGTTGGCCTACACAATAGCCAAGTCAACTCTGCTCAAGTGATCCAATTATTTTACCCTTGATCGCGCCATTTGGCACATGACGACGTTTCCTCCGTTTCGGATTGAATGACATACACGTATAACAAGATTATGATGGCATCATGACACCTACCTGTAACAAAATTATTCACCGGGGAGAATCCATGTAGAGGATGAAAGGTGGACATCACAGCAGAAAAGCAGTTCTTGAGTCGTCCTGGCACAGAATCCATTCAATAGTTCCACAGAGAACATGCAAGGGGCATGGATTATGTGGCCTAAGGCGGGTCATGGATGTACGCCCTCAACCCCCCCCCCCCCCCCCCCCCCACCTGCGCTCAAGCCCTGTACTCCAGTATGCCCCACTTTTCGACCTGGTCATTCCCTTAGCATTCACAAAGAATGTTATGAACAGCACCACTTAGCGTCAAATGGCGGGGGGGGGGGGGGGGGGCACGAGCGAAGCCGACCCCCTCCTCCAACATTTGGAGATAAGTTGCAGTCTTTTCGAATGTCTTTAACCATAGTCGTCGAAACACATTTACGCCCCCACCCCCGGGCTTAAAATTAAAAAGTACCAAAAAAACACTGAGCGCCCCTGGACTTGGGTGTCCCCCTCTGTTTTCTTTCTCTTCGTCGAAAGTTTTGTCCTGACTGCAGAATCTTATAATGCCGCAACTGAGCACCATGCACTGATATAGCACTGTTCGCTATCACTGCAACGATAAGTTGGGTCGGCGATAAATTAAAGCAAATAATTATCATTGTCCCCCTCAGAAAAAGCCAGACAGTATATACAATAAACCACGCACGTACAGGCGCATTACCAAGCAACAGGCGATGATTGTGTGACTATATCAATAATATTGTTGGGTCAACTACAAAAAACGAGAGGGCGGGCACTCGTCAGTATATATCGTACATGTAGTAGGCCTACTATGATTTGCTATAGTAAACGCTGCAAATTTAGATTATGTGCAGATTACATTATAATATATTCCTGGGAATATTATTTAGACCTATAGTCGTGATGTATGGCGGTTGCATTCTAGCCATATGGCGATCGGCATTTTGAAATGGCGACGGCAGGACGTAGTGTTAGTGTTGATACTGACAAAGATACAAATCATGTAAATCAAAATCCGAGGAGGGCGTCGCAAGATGATGAGGCAACGCGGAGTGATGAAGGGCAAGAGACTATTACTGACTCCTCTGTGGCTGTTAGTAGACCAAAACAGCAAACCGAAGACGTAATTGTCAAGGAGGATGGTCGTAAGAATTCGGGCAAGAACGCTACAAATACTAGTTCGACACTCTCTGAAGGTAAGCTTTTAAGAGGTTGCTGGTAGTTGGTTCTACCGGGTGTCCCAACGACTAAGTTAAAGGTATCCTTTAATTTCTCAAAAAACTACTTAACATGAGTATTTCATCTTGATGGAACATTTTAATTACACTCTTATGTATAGTCAGTGAAAATGCCATGGACATCCGTTCATGCAAACCCGAAATCGAACAGATTGTTAAGCTATGGGTTTTTTCACCCATTCCAATGGAATTTACACAGTTAGTGATATCAGTGCATCAGATTGTCATGGGCCTTTTCACTCTGATGTAAAGTAAGTTAACTGTGTAAATCCAATCCCATTGGAATGGGTGAAAAAATTCATAGCCTTTCATGATGTCAGATCTCTGGTTTGCATGAACGGATATCCATGGCATTTGTACTGACACAAGGGTATAAATGCTCCATCAAGATGAAATACTCATGTTAAGTAGTTTTTGAGAAATTAAAGGATATATGCTTGAACAAGTTTTGTTGGTACACCCTGTAATTAAACTGTGTGAGCTCATGAAACCTTTATGCAAATCCCACTGGTAATAATATTATCAAACGGTAACCATAACGAATTATAATGACAATATTATGTACGCAAACACTGTACGCTCACCCTTTGTACAAAATTATTAGGTATTTTATTCTTACGTGAGTGTAACAATAATCGGTAATATTTGCATTCGTATATTATAGAAGCAATCAAAAGACTCTTGTACATAATATTCGGTGTGTAAGCGCGTAGCCAGACCTATAGGCATTGACACAGATGGCGGGACTTGCTATCAATATTCAATCTTTTTTTGTAAATACTATTCTCAAAGGAAATCATTTATCATTGTTGGGATGGCAGATAATCAATATCAGACATCAGACTATATTGGGAAGGCCACAGTCACCGATGTTAATTACTCTGTACGCTTCAACGCACGTGTTATCTAGACATAATTGCATTGCATAAACTCAACAAATGTTGTGTTGGCACACGTGGCACTGGTACAGCCGTAACAGCACATATAAAGCTATTTCTGATTCTTTCTTTCTTTGTTTCTTTTTTTTTCTTCTTGTTTGTTTCTTTCTTTTATTTCGTAACAAATACAAGGGGTATCATTTCTTTTTTTGCGACCTTTACAACATGTGTTCACTGTATTTGAAAGAGGTCCATTCAGATCCCAATGACTTCACACTGTATGAACTGTAAAAAACATAATAATAACATGTTTTGGCTGCTTTTTTAAAGTCATATTTTAACCCGAGCAGCACTATTTGTAATGCAATCGTTCAAGAATGAAACTACCAAAATATAAAATATCCTACTTGGTTATATAAGCAAATAATAGAATCATGCATCGAGTGAAATGCGCCTAGTATGCTGTCATTTTCAAGAAAAGAGAATTACTACCATTTCTGACCGAACCGTCGCGAGAATTGCTCCCAATCCACCGAATTTAGATTAGTTTGCAATCAGTAATGGGAATTATTTTTCCCAAGTGACAAACTGGGATCATACCACAAAGGGTGCAAGTCAAGCATATTGAATGAACATTTTGGAAGGGAGAGCTTTCAACAGAAACCTTGTTTTGCGTCGAGAAAAATGAAGTTGCCCTTTTACAGCTGTCTCTATTGAGCTGAAATTTCGACAGGTTATTTTTTCACTGATGTGCTTGAGATTTATTGTATGGTTGTTCCTTGAATCGGCAAAAATACAAGTTTGGCAAATGGTTTCCATTACATTGAGTGTGAAGAATAAAAAAAAACCCACCAAAATCCCTTAAAGTTTGGACAGATATTGTAGAAAAGCAGGGCAGAAAATCCACGTGCCCTAGTCTTTTCCTTTTTCACGTTTCTTTGTTTTTTGTCTTTCCCCTGAAGACTCCAAGAATATTGTGACGTATGATAACGTGTTGTTGAACTCCAACGCCAACCACAACAGCAATACTGCCTCTAGCACAAAGCACACACGTCAGCCACCGTCTAGGCCGAGGGAGACCAAGGCTTCCCAACTACGTATCCAGTCACATTCTGTCACAGAGATGAATCCTTCTGACAAATCGAATGTCAAACGACAAAATAGCTTGAAAAGTGAAAAGCCACCAAGCCCAGGATCCTTGCCGGTCAAGCACGCGCTGCGCTCCCAGAGCACAAGCAGTGAGGACAGCTTTGAACGAGACAAGATGGAATCAGTTCTGCCACAAAATCTAAATAAGGGAAAAGCTGTAAGTCATGATTGTGTCTCGCCTTACGGACCGGCAACAGAGAAATATTTAACACCACTTCAGCAAAAAGAAAGGCACAACAAGGATCTGAGCATGCAAATATCCAAACTGGAGCGGACTTTATTGAGTCAAGACGACAGGATCAGGCAGTTTGAGGAGGAAAAACAGAGAGCGTTAGAAGACGTAGGAAAAGTCAAAGATACAGAAATGGGAAAACTACTCATTGAAATTAAGGTAAATTTATCATAAATCCTGAATTGGAAACCTAAAAACTAATTAATTATTCACTTTTTCTCATTCACATTATAACTTTCGCATGACTTTTTTGTCACGTTGGTGAACCTGTGTTTATGAAAAGGGTAAATAATAATCCATGTATACTTTAGCCCACAACCGATTTATTTCATTAAATTTGCGTTAAAATGTTACAGACTACATTTTGTAATTCGTTGACATATATTTGATAATGAAATTTTGCGTAAGTGTAGGAACTGACAATTATATTGTCTATTGTAAGACCTCCTTGAATAGTTTGCTCTGATGTAAAAAGCAACAGGTTTAATAGTCAAGGTAACTATTTTGAATACAAATCTAACGTCGTTTGGACACATTTTGCGTTTCAGAATCTACAGATTCATCTTGAAGAAAGCAAGAATTCAATAAGCGAAATATCAGGCTTACTGAGTGATGAAAAGAAGATGACTGCCTCGTTGAAGGAGCAGATGACTACGATGCAACGAGAACAGGAGGAAAGGGAAGCAGTTCATCAAACACGATACCTGGACATGTATCAGAAGGTATAGGTGTACCATCAGAGGAAGATGCAAACTTTTCAATTATAGGATCTAAAGAATTCTTGGAGTAAAGGTTCTAGAACTCCAATAACAGAAATTTAAGCTCAGAAAATCTAGCGGAACGTACAGGGCCCACCTCGATAAAAAGGGGGGAAGTAATGTTCACGCCCCTAAAATGTTTATATCGCACTGACCTTGTTGAACAAGAATGTTGGATTGCATGTTTATGTGGAAACTATTTTCAACTTCTACAGTTGACAGAGATACTTGCTTGCAAACGCTTTGGCTTCATGCTTAAGTTCGAATTGCGACAGGTTTTATAGTAGACAAACACGGTGTTAATTGACTCACCGACTGACAGACTCAATGTTATGACTTAGACTGGTTACATATCACTGAATGACTGTCACTTGTGACACACTCTTGTCTGGGAACTGCCTTATAGGCTTTGTAAGGAATTTTGGGAGACGTTTAAGCATGAATTCCTGGAGTTCTGTATTTGCGTTGTATCACATGCAGGGGCGTGAAGCGCAGCTAATCGACCAAGAGGAGGATCTTATCTGCATGGCAATCGCTACAGCTCCGGCAGGAGATGGACAGAACCGCCATCTTGTCAAGAAATTGGAACGAACTGAGCAGGAGCTGGAAAAACTACGCCAAACATTCCGCGAAGATGTGTATCATAAGACGCCTCAGTTAGATACGGATTCAGCAGCACAGGTATAACGATATCAATATTATAATTGACCTAATGCTATATATAGGCAGGAATAATTCAGTCACCGTTATGTTTTGTCTTCAAGCACAGCCCCCTTTTACCTTTTGCCACTATACACTTCAAGTTTCCGTTGAAAAGTAATGTGAGCATCATGGTTGGCTTTCCTTCACAAGAAATTATTGTCCCGATCAAACCCCATGCCACCTCGTACAGCAGCAGTAATCGTTTGGTATCCGAGGAGTATAGGGTGGTGCCCAATGTACCAAATATTCGATCAAACAATACGTTTGCCTGTACAGCCCTACCGAGGGGATTTTGTTCAAACCTTATCAGCCGTGTGGTTGCGAAGGCCTAAACGTCGCCGTTGTTAAACAAAGTTAATCCGATCACGTACTTGGACGATATACCAGAGCAGTGAAATTCATGCACCCCAAAAAAACATGGCCTTTTGAACGTTGTGTTTCTCAGAAAATATGGTCAGTATGATTGAAATGTTAAATTATAACGGAAGAAGAAATTCTAAACTTCATGTCAGTGCAATCTCAATCTCAATTTCTAGGAATCCCCTCAAGTTGTTATTTCACGTGTAGTTGAACGCCTATATAATCTACATGTAAGTATATTCCGAATTTCAGCTTAATCTGTTGTTCCAAACCCTTGTGTTACACCTTCAACTATCTCCAAGGTAAATTTCGACGAGGACCAAATTAACTCACGTACATGGTTTTCAGGTTGGCTGATTTTGGGGCAACAATGACGAAGCGCATAATTAGCATATTCATTAGCGTCACTCGGCGTGCTTCGCGTGGGTCTCGGTATCGACCAATGGAAGCCGGCAAATAAGGTGATATTTATTAATTTATAACTCGTGAAGGAGGCTATTCTGCAAATTTTTACTGCACACCATTATGGATAGGAACCTTAGTAATATTTGTGAGGCTTGTAAAGATTGACAGATATTGCAAACACCAGTGTTGCAACTTTTAAAAATGCACGTAGCCAGGCTATTTTTCCAATTTCAACGAAAAGTACTGAACATAACATATCAAAACGATTTTTAGCACATATTTTTATCAAAGGAAAACAAACCCTGAAAGTTGCAAGAAGATACGGTCTTCCAAACGGGAGGAAATAATTTTCAAAGATTTCGCCCGCCAACATGAACATGTCTGTGTGCATGTTGTTTCATTCAAAATAAAGTATTACGTAACCTTTAGAAATCGGCCTTCGCAACCACACGGCTGTTATAAATGTGTTTTTTTATTCGTGTGACTCATGCAGAAATAACTGATATAATTTTGGGGGTATTTTGTACACCTTAAAGCCACATGGTATATGGAAATCTTTGTTGTCCGTGTTATGACTCAATGAGGCTTCCTTTACTTCCCTGTGTTCTGATTTGTAATCAGGTGGAGATTTTGAAGAGTGCGGTGTACTACTATCTTACTGACACACAGCCTGAGGTGAATCTGAGCGTCATGTTGTCCATGCTGAACTACAGTGACGTCCAAAGGAAGAACATCAAAAGTCACATCAACAAAAAATCAAAATAATTCGCATATGATTAGGGCTTTAAGTAGGGCAGATCAAAACTTAAACCTCTTGTACAAACAAAGCTTGTATTGTATTAACAAACTGTATATGTCCAAATCCTTAAGTTTTAGACAATCTATTTGTGTGTGTTTTTTTATATAATTTGCAGTAGAAATTAAACCCAAATGATCTGCACATTAATGCGTAATGTGGCAGATTCTGAAATTTACAAATATGTATATTATCTTTTTCTCTAGCGGAATTGAAGGCAAAATGAAATGAATTTGAAGTTTTCCTAAAATTCAACCCCCAAATCGCTGCACATTAACCCCCTTTCCAGCAGTGTTTAAGTTCACCTTAATTATTTCGCATGAAAGATTCGTATCTCGTGCTCTTCCCCCCAAAAAAGGTTTTTATTCTCCCAACTAATTTTTAAATTCTCTGTTTTCTTTTAACGATTTGTTTTTTCGATTTTGGGCATTTGCAAACCTCTGATAAAGGAGGCTTTCATTGTGCGCACAAATAACACCGCCCTGCGAGAGCCGAATTATTGCCTTGCCGCAAATAATTCGAATTTTGTACAGAAATAATTAAATATCTTAACGTCGGTGGATTTTGTCATTCTATGTCTCATTAGAAAAGTGAATAACTTTTATATTGCTGTAGGAAAATAGAAATTGAAAAATATATATACATGTATATATTCGGGGTGAAAGTCGAAATAGCACGGAGAATGCATCTTTCAATGTTTTTCTCTCTCTCCGTGTATCGCTACGTGTACTGTTGTACATGGATAACACTTCATGCATTACAAGCCGTAACATGTGTGCAACTTAATTAGTTGGGAAACCTATTTTATGTTGTTTGGTTTCTTTTTTCGTTTACTGTTTAATATACATGTACTCATGCGCGAACTAAATTGGTTTAATTTCGTCTGTTATGCAAATTGATTGAAGTTGATAGAAAAGATTATGTTAGCCACAGCTGCCGTGGTGGATTATCGATTGTGAATACTATACGGATTGTAATGGATGCGAATTAAGAAAATGTGGAGAGAAAAAACCTACATGCGAAATAAAATCATATACATGTACTCTTCAAATTCTTTATACTGCATGATAATGATGTAATAAACATGACACGTTATCTTTCAACGAGGATATTTATTCTTCATGTGTAATTTTCATGTTTCAGTTGATCTTGAGCAACGGAATGCGTGCCTGAAAACTCTGATATTGATTATGTTCAACACTTCATTTACATTTAGACCATAAAAACAACTTTTGCTGGGACATCCGTATTAAACCAAAACCATCACATCTGCAGCATATTAACCACTTACAATAGAATACTGGCTGCGATGCAAAGCTGGGTCACAAGGAAGAGCTATTCTTATTATCATACCCAGGGGAAACGCATACAATAAGAACTGAAGTACTTTCAGCAAACATTTATGCAACAATTTAACGAGAGACAACAGATAACTTCACACAAAGTAAGCTAAAGTGCACAACATATGAAGTCATTCTGTCGGGCTGGTATTTGGAAGACAAAAATCGTACAAATAGAAATATGTTTGACCATTCAGAGACAGTGAGCAATGAAAACGCCCCCTATTAGTAAACAATGCATTTTATAAACATGCATTTGCAATGCTTGACAGTCTGTTGCATTAAGAACTAGCGGGTCTTTTCATGAAAAAAATATCTCCTGCTTTTTTTAGTTTTCTCTGAAAGTTGAGTTTCTACATGTATGAACTCAGACCAACTTTCATACTTCACCCGACCACAGACTGTGTACAAAGGTTTGGAACACTTGTCAGGGTGACCGTAAGGTCATGGCCAAATTCTACTTCAAAAATCTGTCAGATTTATCAAAAATCTGCCAAATTCCCCAGAATTACTCGAAATACACTATAAACACTTAAAATCACATAGAGATTTGTAGTATTGCCTTAATTAAGGTTCAAATTACATTATAAACAATCTATAGTCACATAAAGATGTTATGAAATTATTGCGTGTAAATTTCAGGCAAAACGCGGTTGCGTCACGACGAAGTCCGGTTCCCAGTGAACCTCAGCACCTAGACCAGACAACCTGACCCATTACGCAAGGGTTTGAAAAGATTGAAGCTTTTTTAAACAAGTGTACCATTTTTTTTCTTCAAATTTGCTGTTTTTCTGTCAAATAACCATTTTTGCAGAATTCTGCCAGAAATCTGCCCCCAAAAAATCAATTCTGTCAAATGTTCTGTCAGACTCGTTTTTTTTAACAAAAAACTGTCAAAGTTAGCCGAAAATCGGCTAAAACGGTCACCCTGACACTTGTGCAATGTTGTGCTGGCCTTGACACCCAATTTGTGGTTTATATCAAACCAACAGGGTAACTTTGGGGAAATTGATTTACACACGGTTTGACAGTGCTTAGCTTTCATTTGCTGAATTTACAATATGTCATTAGCATATTTGATAAATGTGGGCAGTTTTCCAATTTGATAAATGTGAGCAGTCTAGAGAAGATGAAGAAAAACATCTGTGATATTATTTTAATTATATAACTTGCCTGGTTTTAGTGTTTGCAGGGTTGGACTTTAGCTGTAGCCCGCTGGTAAAAGCTAGTCAAAACAGCGGCGGGCTAGTCAAACTATTCCTTAAGAAGCCCGGCTGGGGAGTCAAAAATTATTGGGCTACGGCAAAGATGAAAGAAAAGGACAAAATAAACCACTAAATTCAGAAAACAAAACTGTATCAATGTGTGTCTAATTTTATTAACTGTTTAGGGTTAAATTATTAGATCTGTTTATTAAACACACTGACAAGATTGCCTCAAGATACACGTTTTACATGTATGCACATTGTTGTTTATGAGACACTCTATAAAAGAAAAACATGCAGACTAGTGAAAATGCCCGTGGGCTAGTTAAGAGTCTGTTTCAGTAGCCCGGCTGGCTAGTGAAAAAAAATAGTTCATGTAGATCCCTAGTGTTTGTCAAATGCCACATTTTTGTCAACAGTCAATTTACATGCATGATTTTAGAGCTTCCTTAAAGAAAAAAATTAGTAAATACATTGTACATAATGCTCTTAATATTCTATAAAGGTCATTTATCAGTGTTCAACATTAGGCACAGACACATCCCGATCAGTGTCCCGTTTAATTTCTGACCAGTGCATGCAATTTTAGACTGGTGCATGTAAAACTGGACAAGCAAGTTACAAATAATATTTCAATATCCTATATAATCCCAGTGCACAGCCCTACACTATCTGCAGCTGAACACATGATGTGCACGAGTCGCATAAAGCAAAGCCAGAGTTGAACTCAGAATGAATGCTTACGTCACAACAGTCAGCGGAAGTATGGATTGCTCAAGGAGCCACTACTCTATAAAAAGGGGGAACTGGATTCTTATCTGACTGTCAATTTTGGCACCTTTGGCCTATTTTTAATTTTTTTGCTACCAAAGACTGTAAATCGTCCAACATTGACAACGGTTTATGAAAAATGATGCAGTTTCAAAAGTTGCAAATTTAAAGAGTACGCGAGTGGAACACTGACGTGACCAAAACGAACGGCAGGGAATGCCGATCGCACAGTGCTTGCATGCATGGGATCGAGAGCACGCGAAATGAAATTACCCGCACTTTGTTCAGGCACTGCTCAGTCGAAAGGGGCCAATTACAGGCATGTGTGGTTACACTTAGCAATTTCTCCTCGCGCAATCTTTTGCAGCTTTTCAAACTGCATCATTTTTCGTAAACTGTTCTGAATCTTGGACGATTCACAGTCTTTGGGAGCACACCGGGTATCAAAATGTAGCTAACAAAATTCCCCAAAGGTCTATATCAATGATGTTATCATATAAACACGATCAGATTCAAAATTGTAACCCCTCCAATGAGTGTGGACTTTCTTTTTTTGCGGTGTTTATTGTATCCGACATCAAAGCCCCTTGTATTAATTCACACATTTGCATTGCACACAAATCCATACAATGCAGCACCATCAAAGTCACATTCTACATTTCATGATCATCAAAGCTACCTGCTCCCTTTAGTTTTCTCAAGCCATCAAGTGCTTTGTAGTCACTAAGGCAATAATGTTGTGTATCTTACATGGCAATCAAGGCCCTTGGTGACTCTCGTGGCCATCAAGGTTCTGTGGTCACTCTCATGGCAATCAAGGTCCTGTGGTGTCTCTCGGGGCCTTCAAGGTCATGTGGTATCTAAGGGTGATCTAGGTTCTGTGGTCTCTCTCATGGCAATCAAGGTCCTGTGGTGTCTCTCGGGGCCTTCAAGGTCCTGTGGTATCTAAGGGCGATCTAGGTTCTGTGGTCTCTCTCATGGCAATCAAGGTCCTGTGGTGTCTCTCGGGGCCATCAAGGTCATGTGGTATCTAAGGGTGATCTAGGTTCTGTGGTCTCTCTCATGACAATCAAGGTCCTGTGGTGTCTCTCAGGGCCTTCAAGGTCCTGTGGTATCTCAGGGCGATCTAGGTTCTGTGGTCTCTCTCATGACCATCCAGGACCAATGGTGTCTCTTAGGGCCATTGGGGATCTGAGGTGTCTCTCGTGGCAATCAAGGTCAGGGTGTCTCAGTGAATTCAAGATTCTGTGGTCTCTCCCACAACCATGAAGGTTCTGTAGTGTCTCTCAGGGCCATCAAGGTCCTGTGGTATATCAGGGCGATCTAGGTTCTGTGGTCACTCTCATGACCATCCAGGACCGATGGTGTCTCTTAGGGCCATTGGGGATCTGAGGGGTCTCTCGTAGCAATCAAGGTCAGGGTGTCTCGGTGAATTGAAGGTTCTGTGGTCTCTTCCACAGTAATCAAGGTTCTGTGGTCTCTCTCAATGGCAATACAGGTCTGATGGTGTCTCTCATGGCCACCAAGGTCCTGTGCTACCTCTTATGGCCATCAAGGCCCTTTGCTGACTCTTATGGCCATCAAGGCCCTTTGGTGTCTATCATGACCATCAAAGTTCAATGGTGTCTCAAGTCCATCGAAGGCACAGAACTGTGTTTATCTCACAGAGATTAGGGTCACATGGCATCTTTTGTGGCCATCAAGACCATGTAGTTCTGTCACTGCCATCAAGGTCCCGTGGTGAATATTGTGGCCTTCAAGGCCCTATTGTGTGTGTCTTAAGGCCATCAAAGCCATAGATTTTTCTCTCATTCATGTAGATGTCCAAGCTCTGATGTGTCTCTTGTGTCCAACAAGACCTGAAACTGTGGTTTCCTCCTAATCAAGGCCATGTGTTGTGCCGCATGGCCATCATTGTGTTGATATCCCAGATCAAAGCTCGTAGTCTTTCTATTATCTGCTGCAACTGTTGGTTCTTACTTTGCACTTTCTGTGAAATGTCAAGATCAGACAATTCCGGTTATGAACCATACATGTACATGTATGGAGGGGAATAGTTATACTACATCAGAATAGAAGCAGATGAGGAAGAGGAGGAGGGGGAATAGTTATACCACATCAGAATAGAAGCAAATGAGGAAGAGGAAAAGGGGGAATAGTTATACTACATCAGAATAGAAGCAGATGAGGAAGAGGAGGAGGGGGAATAGTTATACTACATCAGAATAGAAGCAGATGAGGAAGAGGAGGAGGGGAATAGTTATACTACATCAGAATATAAGCAGATGAGGAAGAGGAGGAGGGGGAATAGTTATACTACATCAGAATAGAAGCAGATGAGGAAGAGGAGGAGGGGGGAATAGTTATACTACATCAGAATAGAAGCAGATGAGGAGGAGGAAGAGGGGGAATAGTTATACTACATCAGAATAGAAGCAGATGAGGAAGAGGAGGAGGGGAATAGTTATACTACATCAGAATAGGAGCAGATGTGGAGCAGGAGGAGGGGAATAGTTATACTACATCAGAATAGAAGCAGATGAGGAAGAGGAGGGGGAATAGATATACTACATCAGAATAGAAGCAGATGAGGAAGAGGAGGAGGGGGAATAGTTATACTACATCAGAATAGAAGCAGATGAGGAAGAGGAAGAGGGGGAATAGATATACTACGTCAGAATAGAAGCAGATGTGATGTGGAGGAGGAGGGGGAATAGTTATACTACATCAGAATAGAAGCAGATGTGGAAGAGGAGGAGGGGGAATAGTTATACTACATCAGAATAGAAGCAGATGAGGAAGAGGAGACGGGGGAATAGTTATACCACATCAGAATAGAAGCAGATAGGGAGGGGAGGAGGGGGAATAGTTATACATCAGAATAGAAGCAGATGTGGAAGAGGGGTCTGCAACTGATAAAATGACTATTCTTTGACCGCATCATATTCTGCATACTTCAATACTTTAAGGGTTTGTATCCAATATACAGACTGCAAATGTTTCATGTAGATGTGAGCTAGTTTGATCAACATGCGTCATAGAGATACATGTCGTAAACAGTTAGCAAGTAGTAAACGCTGCTTTTATGGGATGACACGGGTGACCCGTCAAACTAGGGAGAAGTCTAAGCACAGGGAGTCTGAACACCGTAGGTACCTGTACAATCTAGCAGAACATACTAACCTCTACCAATTCTTGTTTTTCCTGATTGGCAGATGTGACTTTGTCTTCTGATCCAAGGCCTGATAGATCACTTAGACTATCCTTTCCATCCTTCCATGGGATCAACTCCTTTAACAGCAATATCAAAATCAACGAAAAAGGTTAGAGAAAAGTTGGTCACATAGTCAGAGTTGTGAGGAAAGTCACTGAATTTTGTGACACGGGTTGAGTTGAGTCATTCTAAGGCAGTGACTCGAGTTGAGTCATTGGGTTAGCAAGGTCAAGCCGAGTCGGGTCAAGTGACATTCTTGCTTGAGTCAATTTGAGTCACTGACAATGTAATACAACTTATTTAGTGTCTTTAGACTGAAACTGGTTAAGTTTCAGCATTTGTTTTAATGGTGCAGGGATGGGTAATTTTTGTAATCTTCATTCGAGGAAAGAGCCTCTTTCCTCGAACCATAATTACGAAAATTAAACAGTGGTACAATACAACATAAGTTAGACCTTGCTAGTGCAAACCAGCTTGCCACACATGACATGAAGTAATAATTTTGCAAGCAGTTACAGCAATAATTTTCCACCTTTTTTGGAACTTGTTTGTTAATGAGCCTTTGAGTAAATGAGACTTACTGACATGAGCCATTACAACTCTGCAATACCGGTAGAGTTGCATGGTGATAATAGATTTTCTAGCAATATAGAACTTATTCACTTTTGAATGAGACATCAAATATAAATATTCTACCCACATTAAGTTATAAAATACTGAACACATTTTTAATTGTTTACAATCCAACAATAAATTAGGCAAATGTTTTGCGCCTTACAGGCACAGAATCCACCACAAACGAAAACCTTCTTTCACAGGGCTCAAGACGCATCAAAATACTGCGAAACATGTACATGTAATGTCCACTTTTTCAGTACTTTTGGCTTAAAATCTTTGATCAGTTAAAGTTTCTCTGAAAAGATAAATGTTCCATCAACTACAAGCCCACCCATGCTACACTTGTTATTGATGACTATGATTTACAGATGAATTGCGAGGATCTGAAGACACTTTCATCAATATGCACTATTACAGGTTAACAAAACAATGCGAATGTGAATGGCTTTTTGAAAGGCTAGCTATGCCCCTCTGTTGAAAAGTGGTACATGTATTTGGGCATTTCCACACTAACGGGGTACAATTGACTGCAAATTTGGGATTTCAGAGGGGGACACTGGAGGGTACAGCAAAGCAAGATATTTTGTTCAGTTGTTTTCTGTGCATTACTGAGACCTTAATGATCATGTGTACAAACAATATAGAAAACCTTCTCTGTACTTTAGAAATTACAGGGGTCATCGTAAAAATTACGTACTAACAAAAGACAGAATTTTTGCTACAAATTGACACGACACTAATTATCATACACGTGCATGAAGTCACCAAAATGTCATCTCATTCATATTTACAACCCATTTGGGAGTGCTAACAGCCACAATGGACACAATTGTGTTGGTCTTTAAGACGCTTATAGGTAACGTACGTAACGCGGACAGAAATGTTACGTCCATGTTACGTACATGTACATACATACATGTACGTAACATTCTGATCAATATTACCCCATGACATTAGAAATATACAGTAGATTGTCTAGAATTATAGGAATGATGCCAAAATGTCAGCATGCGTCATTGTTTTTACTAAGATATCAGTACGAAATTTCAGTTACAACAGGTATTTGCCCACCAATAATGTAGAGTATTTTTCTAATATAATGCATATTACTGACCCAATCTGATATCTGTACCAATTACTGAATGAGCAATATAGATTTGTTTAACATTTTTTGGGAAATCAAAGCCTTTAATGGGCCTACTGTACAGTAAATGGGCAATTCCACGGTTACTCACGTTACATTTTTTATGTACTTTTGAGTTTCCTTGGGCTGTAATTACCTTACTGAAAGGTTTAATAACTGTTAACCCCATGGTGATGGTAGATAGAGTAGACCTAGACCTACCTTAGCACCAAAGATGACATCCAAAAATGTGTTATGTATGATAAACAAGATGCACAAAATCGGTTACTCACGTTACGAAAATGTACAAGAGTAACCGATTTTGTGCGTCTTGTTTATCATACATAACACATTTTTTTGTATGTCATCTTTGGTGCTTAGGTAGGTCTAGGTCTACTCTATCTACCATGGGGATAACAGTTATTAAACCTTTTCAGTAAGGTACAGCCCAAGGAATCTCAAAAGTACATCAAAAATGTAACGTGAGTAACTGTGGAACTGCCAAAATGCATAACGTCAGATTTTAGTTAAAGCAATAAAACATACAGTACCTCAGCATTGCTCTGATCCATTCCTCCGGATAGTTGGTTACACTTGTCATACAACAACCGAAGTCTCTTGAAATGCCGCTGAGCAGTCCGGATGAGATCTTGCAGTTTGACTTGGTGATTAGGGTTTACTGGGGAAACCCCATTGGGTAACTGAAATCATATGACCATAAACACATCTCTGTTAAACATGTACCGGTAAGTATTGTAAACACTGGGGAAACAGATGAACTTCACTGATCTGACATTATTTACATTAAATGTTTTATACATCAAGTTAAGCATTTTAACACATCAGGAATCCTTGAAAATATGCGAAACTCATGCTGCACACCTGCATTGTTTTTGAGACATTAAATATCTCATTAGTCTTAGTGACTATGTCTTGAACAGTTTCTTGTCCCAGTCGGCACAGTGTGACGCAGTTGATTTCACCTCGAGTACTGGTCATGGAAGGAGTACTGCTTGGATTCTGGTTGCCACCACTGACAGTCGGCTGCTGAGTAGGTGCTGCCATGGTAACCTGCAGCAATCCAAAGTAAGGAATCGTTATCTGCCAGTCGGCATTGCACAGACATCGTCAGCGACACCACAAAGTAACACCCAAGTGGGCTTGAGTGCGCGCTACGCACCCGTATTTTACGTAAAACGGCTTTGTTTACATGCACAATCATGACAAGGCCAAAAAAAATAGTTCTGCTTCCGGTTACCCCACCTACATGTACCCTATTCTCACAGCCCCTACCCTAATTTTTGGGAGGGAAAAATTTGGGGGGGAAAAATTAGGAAGAAATGAGGAAAAACCATAACAACGTCTACCCCCTAGACTAAGTTTGTAGGGGAGCAATGCCAATCTGGCTGTACTTTTGAGCTTGTAATAGTGTACGGCCAGAGGCAGTCCGGCTAGCACATGGGGTGCCTTCTTGTAAGTTGAAGTAGCCATGTCACTGTGGCTCACACGAGTTACAACAGAGGAAATCCTCCATATTATGCACCTATCAAATGTCCCCACACGTCTTGGGTGGGGCAGCCCGGGAGGGCAATTGATCTGTTGATCTGTTGATTATGATAAGGAGAAGACTGGATCACGTTTGTAAGCACTTGTGCATTTCGAACGGCAAAAGGGAGTCGGGAACTAGGGCAGCTTTCAGCTTGAACTGGTTTCCGCCCATAAAAGCTGCCCTAGTTCTCGACTCCCTATTATCGTTCGAAATGTACTTGTGTTTACAAACGAGATCCAGTCTACTCATTATCATAATCGATGCATCGCGCTCGGTAAACGGAATAGCACTCAGGATACAGGAACCACTGAATGTACGCTGGGCATGAAGACCACATCGCATCGTTCAAACAGTCACGAGTCGGAAAATTAACGTGTTCACGATCACGAGGGGAACTCTCGGAATTGAACGGGAAATTTCACTTTTCATCCAGATCGTAAGTAAACTTCAGTACAACCATCTTAATCATCGATGTCTTGTACCTCAGGTGGCGTATCTAGTAATTTGTAGGCCATTTTGAGGGTGAAATCATATGTTTTTGTTGGGCAATGCTGGGTTTTTGGGTCAAGGACAAAATTGTGTCAACCGACTGATAAATGCGTTAAGCTTGGACCCTACTATCGCCAGACCATGTCCGAATGTTAAAAAGGCGATGCAAGTTGGGTCCAAGTTACTCGGACTACCTCAGCCCTAAATTTTATCATTGGGTTGTCATTTAGGGCTGGAGGAAGTTGTTAACTTGGACTAGCAGGCATTTGGCAGGTACAAAAATGAATTTGAAAATGTGCCATTTTGTCCCCGTAACACACTAATTCGAACTGGGACTCACCCAAACCTTGCCTGGCATAACCTACACAGGTCCTTGAAGAAAAATACGATCCACGATGAAGATTCAGCCTACAATTGCAGTGAAAAAAGGAGGTAGCCGATCAAGCTGATGCACTACTGCTGCACTAACTATGAGGCTTCACTCGCATCATGGCAGAGGTAGAACTGCAGCTGAAGTTGGCCGACAAACAGTAGTTGGGTGTGCGCTTCAGCGCCATGCTGCGCCGTGCAGTTGGCAAGTGTGACTGGTGGTTCGCTGTGTGTGCATGGTAATCGACAGCGCATTGCATTTTGTTTGTGCACAAATCTACTCTGGGCATCATCATGGCCGCACAGCTCGATCGGCTACCTCCTTTTTTCACTGCAATTGTAGGCTGAATCTTCATCATGGATCGTTTTTTTTCTTCAAGGACCTGTATAGTGGTTATGCCAGGCTAGTCCGAGTAACTAGGACTCTACAAATCGCCTTTTTTAACATTTGGACATGGTCGGGCGATAGTAGAGTCCGAGATCGATAGCCCTATTGCGTTTACTAATAATTTATTTTGACCATTTTCACTCGTACCCCCAATCAAAATCTTCAGATTTCACCCCCAAAACAGTCTTCAAACTGCCTTATGTGCCCCTATAGGCTTCAGTGGGAATTGAAAATACAAATGGTGGTGGTTTGGTTCACATACCTTTGAGAAGAAAAGAGAAATTTCACCTTCAATTTGGGAAACATCCTTGTCACACAATAGTCTGAGTAACTTGGACCCAACTTATCGCCTTTTTTAACATTCGGTCATGGTCTGGCGATAGTAGGGTCCAAGCTAATCCGTATATACCGAGCAACACTATTTTGTCCTTGACCCAAAAACCCAGCACTGCCTAACAAAAACATCAGCTTTCACCCTCGAAACGGCCTCCAAATTACTAGATACGCCACCTGAGGTACAAGTAGACATCGATGATTAAGATGGTTGTACTGAAGTTTACTTACGATCCGGATGAAAAGTGAAATTTTCCGTTCAATTCCGAGAGCTCCTCTCACGATCGTGAACACCTTAAATTTCCTACTCGTGTTTGAAATGCGGTGTGGTCTTCATGCCCAGCGTTCATTCGATGGTCCCCGTATCCTGAGTGCGATTCCGTTACCGAGCGCGCGATGCATCGATTATGATAATGAGTAGACTGGATCACGTTTGTAAACACAAGTGCATTTCGAACGAATAATAGGGAGTCGGGAACTAGGGCTGCTTTTAGGGACGCAAACCAGTTCAAGCTAGTTCCCGACTCCCTTTTATCGAGGGAGACTATGCTTTTAGGTTCGAAAGCAAAATTAAACACAAACTAAGCCTAAATGTGAAAATCAAAATTTGACAAAGTTTTACATGTTTTTGTGCATGTTCCAAGTGTGGCCTTTATTTACGGACATGACATTTATTGAGCTAGTCATGGACCGAGCTGGTCACGGACCGAGTTGGTCACGGAACGAGTTGGTCACGGACCGAGTTGGTCACAGACTGAGTCGGTCATGGACCGAGTTGACTCGGACCGAGTTGGTCACGGACCGAGTTGACCTGAACCCTGACAAGTACGGGAGTAGGCTTTCCCAATTAATGTCAGAAAAGGAGTTCTACCGCCCAGTTAGTGGGTCTTGGGTAGCTTGAGTAACTCCAGCTCTAATGCCTATCGCATTAGAGTTGCAGTCACAACTACGTTACAATCCCCGGGTCGTAAGAATCCCAAAATCACGGACTGTGTATCCCAGGTGCATTACAGAAACGGCCAATTTCCCTATATTATCCCGACCCAGAGTCCATAATCCATACCTCATACATTGCATTGTTCAAACACGAGTCGGAAATTTAACGTGTTAATTCACGATCGATCGCAAGGGGAGCCCTCAGAATTGAACAGGAAATTTTACTTTTCATCCAACTTGTAAGCAAACTTTATTCCCTCGATTTTAATCATCGATTGCTCCTTGTTCCACATGAGGCGTATCTTATTATTTGGAGGCCGTTTTGAGATAAATCTGATGTTTTTGTTGGCCAATGTTGTTTTGGGTTTTTTGGGTCAACACAGTCGGCAGAATAGTGTCGCGCGACGTTTTCTCATGGTTTCTGGAGAATTGCCACCAAAAATCATCAAAAAATTTCATACTTTAGTCATCGTACCGAATGAGGCATGGATTATGGGATCTGGGTCGGGATAATATAGGGAAAATGAACCGTTTCGGTAATGAACCGGGGATACACAGTCCGGGATTTCGGGATTCTTACGACCCGGGGATTGTAATGTAGTTGTGACTCCAGCTCTAATGCGATAGGCATTAGAGCTGGAGTTACTAAAGCGCGGTCTTAGGTAGTCCGAGTAACTTGGACCCAACTTATCGCCTTTTTAACATTCGGACATGGTCTGGCGATAGTAGGGTCCAAGCCAATTCTTATATGCCGAGCAACACAATTCTGTCACTGACCCAAAAACCCAGCATTGCCCAACAAAAACATCAGATTTCACCCTCAAAACGGCCTCCAAATTACTAGATACGCCACCTGAGGTACAAGTAGACATTGATAATTAAGATGGTCGTACTGAAGTTTACTGAGTGAAATTTCCCGTTCCAAGAGCTCCCCTCGCGATCGTGAACACGTTAAATTTACGCTGTCTTCTTTCCCAGCGTACATTCGATGGTCCCCGTATCCCGAATGCGATTCCGTTACCGAGCATGCGCGATGCATCGATTATGATAATGAGTAGACTCGATCGCGTTAGTAAACACAAACTGTGCATTTCGAACGATAATAGGGGGTCGGGAACTAGTGCAGTTTTTATGGCGGATACCAGTTCAAGCTGGTTCCCGATTCCCTTTTACCGTTCGAAATGCACTTGTGTTTACTAACACGGGAACCATCGAATGTACACTGGGAATGAAGACCACATCGCGATAAGTTAGGTCCAAGTTACTCTGACTAATGACTCCCAACTATAGTTGGGCTAGAAACAACACCACGCTGTTGTGTATTTTGGAACTAGCGAAATCGAATTCGAAAAAAAGCGAATTTCGTATGGATGTTGAGTACTCGCCTAGAAATCTAAATTTGCCTTCCCGCGTGTTCAGGATGTGTCATTTCGACGAAATTTGCCATCAATGAAGACCCATACGAACGTGTAGAAATTAGATTTTAACCTGACAAGTGACCCTGACAAATGACCCCTGACAAGTACCCAGGGTCACTTGCGTGCAAAATTATCGGAGCCCTCCGCGATACCGGTCTGCTTCATGTGGCGCATATGATAGGCGGCGTCTGATTGGCCAATAACGAGACCACGTGATAAACGCAGCGAATAATTTGGAATCGCACTTATGATCCGGACATCAGGAGTGCCCGGAGCTTCAGTGCGATACCAAAGTATCTGCAGCATTTATCACGTGGTAAATCACATGCATGATCGGAGGAGGTTGCAGGACATCAAGATCTTGCCAGATTTTACCTCGAATATCGTTTAAATGCCAGATTTGGCGTAAAGGCAGATTTCAAGATGTTCAAGAAAGCTTGATATGTGAATACTTATCACACGGTAAGGCAATGTTCAGTCTTTGTCACGGAAGGACGATTTCGCTTGGTTCGAACATGTACAAGAGCGTGGCGTAGTTTATAAGCCACGTTCACGGGTCTATAGTTGGGCCAGCCCAACTGTGGAACTATAGTTGTGACCGTCCTAAC